TCAGGGTGTGGGACAGCTACTTGGTGGGGAAGCTGCATTGTTTTAAACACAATAGCAATCCGGAAATAGCCCTAAATCCTGGCTCAGCTTTTTTTTTTTTTCCCCTGATAAAATATTTCATATTTACAAAAAGCAAAAAACATTTCTAGCATGATGCTGTGAACACCATACCCCACCCACTGGTGGGACTGAGCAGAGAGAGACTTCCTCCTCTGCACTCCCCAGGGTTGACACCCTGAACTTGGTGTGACTCCTTGGCCCTCTCCTCCTTTCTTACTTTAGCATGCCCTTTCTACTCCTGGATGTGGCTAAATGGCACCAGACAGCGTTGTGGTGACTTTGTTTTAGCCCACGGTGAGGCTGCTGAATCCTGCTTCCAGGCACCCGGGGGGTGGGGGGGCACACTAGAGGGATAGCAGGATTTCACCTTTACTCTCTTATTTGTGCCCTGCAATGGTGCACCCTGTTCTTGTATGCCATTTGGGGCTAGATGCCGCCAGGGACTGACATCCACAGAGCTTGGGCCATGGGGATGGGGGTCTCATAGTCTGTGGGCACGGCACAGTCACAGGTTGCTTGTTTGTTTTGAGACAGGGCTGGAACGCAAGGTGTTCTGATCTACCCACCTCCATGTCCCACCTGCTGTAGCTATGGAAAGTGTCGCCGCGCTCGACTTGTAGAGCACTAGGATCAAACCCAAGGTTTCTTGCATACTAATGAGCACTCTACCAACTAAGCCACCTCCTCATCCCACATTGGTACAGACAGAGTTCACCTCCTCCCGAGTTCACCCCACTACATGCCTCATCTACATCAGTTCACTCTGGCTGACCTGGAAGTCACTATGTAGACCAAGATAGAACTCAAGGCAAACTGTCTACCTCTGCCTCTCCAGTACTGGGGTTAATAGCATGAGCCACCATGCCCAGCCTAGATAATTTATTAGATTAAAAACAACCCCTTCTAATCATGGAAGAAACTGTAATGTATCCCTACATGCAGGTTGCGTGTTTCTTACCCAAAAATGCCTTCAGCAGAGCTGACATAGCATATACTGAAGCTCTGGATTCTAGCCCCAGCCCCTTTCCCCAAATAAAACTAAAAAACACAACTCTGAGAGATGTATTTTGTTCCCCAAAGACAAGAAGGGTGGAGTAGACTCCCTATCGGTGTTGATCACTAATGTGTGTGTCTGTGTCAGAGAAATGTCTGTTTGGGTCCTTGGAATTCTTTATATATTCTAAACATGTATCTCTTCTCAGACACAGTGAGGAGACAGCAGCACAGTTCCATATTGCTGTCCTCAAAGCCCGAAGAACGCCCCTACCCTAAACTTTTGAGTCAGGCCAAATCAGACTTTGTGTACTTGTCAGTTTATGATGAAACACTAGGATTTTATTTTATTAAATATATTTTATTTTTCCTCCCATGCCCCTTAGTGATGTTGTAATATTAGGGTTGGATAGATGGCTCAGTGGTTACAAGCATTTGCTATTCTTGCAGAGGATGCAGGTCAGGTCCCAGCACACATATGCTTTAAAACCATGTGTCACTCCAGTTCCAGGGGATCTGGTGTCTTCTTCTCCCTTCTGTGGGCACCTGCAGTCATGTCTATCACACACATGCAAGTAAAACCCTCATGCATATAGTAACATAAAAATAAATCTTTTTTTAAAAATTAACCTTAATTTTTATTATTTTTAATTGTGTGTATGTGTCTGTGTGTAGGTTTGTGCATGTGAGTGCAGATGCCTACAGAGGCCAGAGGAATTAGATCCCCCCTGGAGTAGGAGTCATAGGTGCTGTGAGCCATTTGATAAAGCTGCTTGGGATTGAACTCCCATCCTTTGGAAGAGCAGTATGTGCTCTTAACTGCTGAGCTGTCTCTCTAGACCCATTTTTTTTTTTTTTTTTTTTAAAGACAGGATCTTACCACGTAGCTCTGTCTTGGAACTCATTATGTAGAATAGTATGGCCTTGAACTCACAGAGATCCACCTGCCTCCTGAGTGCTGGGATTAAAGGTGTGTGCCACCACTGCCCTGCTAAAATAAGCTGATATTGAACATGGATATTTTAACACAGACTTAAGCATGAGGATTATGAGAGAAGCGCTCAGAAAGAAAAGACACACCCAAGAGCACTGGGTATGGCTTCAAAGAGAGAGGACAGGAAAGTAAGACACACCTAAGGTAGATTAAGGCTCCTCAGGAGAGAGTTGCCATTCCTTGCCTTCGCATTGCATTGGCTGCACAGACCATTTCAGCGACTCTCTCTCAAGTGACATCTCAAAAGGTTGCTAGGAAACCCCTCCTCTTTTCCTTCTGTGTCTTCTTACAAATGAGGTGAATAAGGTGGCTCTGTGGATGGCTGGGATGGAATTATAGTCTGATAAAGTGAAACCAGGAACTTCTAGGGTTGCACAGTAGCTCGGCAGTGCCTTTCCTGTAAATTTAGTTTCTGATGAGATTCCTAGAAAGCTTCAGAGCTGCGGGTGGGGAAGGAGAGAGGCTTGAAGCAGTTAATTGTACTGGGTCCCTGCTTCTCTGTTGGCTGGTGTTCCAGGACAAGGGGGGACCCTTTTACTTTCTCATGTCAACAGTTTTCCCTGTGTTTCTATCCTGCCTCAGAATGGCTGCAAATTTTTCTCTCAGTCTAGCCCTTGGTAGAATCTTTTGGCACATAAAAACTTCCCGTTTGGATAACTGGCCAGTTTCTTTCTTTCTTTCTTTGGCTGACCTGGAACTCACTACTTAGACCAGGATGAAGCCACACTCAGAGTTCTACCTGCCTCTGCCTCCCGAATGCTGGATTCAAGGTGTGAACCAGCATGTCTGGCTGTGCTCGGAGATTCTTAATGCTACTTCTAGGCCATTTCCAGGACCGTGCACAATGTGACACCATAACCCCTGTGTCATCAAGTGCCTGGGAATGGAAGGGGACTCTTGTTTTGTGGTGCAGGTACATGCTAAGCAAGGGCTTTACCATCAGGCCACAACCCTTGCTTTACCACAGAGTACAACTATAGTACCATGACAGGTTTCCTGTGGGTACTTGGAAAGCACCTGCAGTGTGGGCCATGGGGGGGTTTATTTTTATTTTTTATTTAGGCAGGATTTTGCTATGTAGTCTAAGCTGGCCTGATATTCATTTATGATCCTCTGCCTCACCTCCAGATTGTTGAGATTATTGGAGCAAACCACTGGTCCTACATCACCATGGGGATTTAATAAAAAAGCAAAGAGCCAGGAGCTCTGGGAGGTTTGTGTGGTCTGAGGGAGACCCACAGGAGAGAAACTGTGGAGCCCAGCCCTGGCCTTTCCACCACAGCCGGTTACTCCCTCCTCAAACCCTTCCACCCCTAGGAGGAAATAGGACAGACATCAGACTTGCTGTGCCCTGAGCCTTTCAGAGTCCCTGCCAACTGAATCCTGGTCTCCACCCTGGCCAAGTTTCCACAAACAGGAAGCAGAGGCTCAGGGATGCTGGCCTACCTATCACACACACACACACACACACACACACACACACACAAATAGCAGAGGCTGGCCTACCTATCACACACACACACACACACACACACACACACACACACACACACACACACACACAAATAGCAGGGGCCAGACACCAGCCCAGATTTTGATTGCTTGTAGAGTGTGGCCCAGAACCCTGGATGGGTCCCTGTGAGATGTGCCTCTCTCAGGAGGTCATCTGAGATGGGGATCAGGCTCATAGTCAAACACAGGAGTGAAACCTGTTCTTCTGATGTTAGTGACATTAACAACTTGTTCAGGTTCCTGGACAAGGATGAGAGCCAAAGATGTCAGGCAGCCTACAGGCTGGTTAGGCTTCTTCTGTGTCCTGCTGTGGTCTCCAGGTCCTGCTCTGCTTAGGACATAGAATTCCCTGCTCCCAACACCCATCCCCAGCCAAACTATCCGGGTTATTCATTCATCCAAGACTTGCAGTTACTGATCCTTCACTCCAGGCTGGTAACATTACTAGTAGCATTTCAGTGATCTTTCTTTCTTTCTTTCTTTCTTTTTTTTTTCTTTATAAAAGTCCTGGAAAAATCCCCCGGTCTCCTTTCCCCTTGAGTTTAAAGATTCCCATGACAGAGCCCATAGGGGAAAGTCAGCTCTGAGGAAGGGCCAGGACCAAATCCCCTCCAAAGCCAGTACCAGCCACCAAGCAGCCCAGGCAGGCAGGCAGGCTGCGTTTTGCTTTGAATCTAGTCTGAAGCTGGAAGAGGCTCTGGGTAAATAGGGGTCAGACTTGACCTAGAGCTGGGAGGGGGCCCAACAGGCCTGGGACGCTGCTCCCTCCAGCAGCGTCCACCTTGCCGCGTTTCCTGCTGACCTTAACCCACGTTTCCGTGGCGGCCTGCAGTTAACCGTGCAATTATTGACCAGGAGTGGGTCTTTACACTCCCTTTCCGACGGTTCTTCCAGCTGTCCACTAAGCATCCACGACAGCAGAGCTCCCTGCAGGTGGTGGGAGGTCAGGTCTTTGTCCTTTACTTGACGCAGGGTAGAACTGCGCGGCTGGGGAAGAGCTTCGGGGGCTGGGTGACGTGGCCCGGGCACCTGGGGACACCGCCCATTCCTTCCTGCGTTCCGGGGCGCAGGGGGAGGGACCGAGCGCACAGAGGGGCTGCGCACGCACCAGACCCACAGGTCTCTTAAGGAAATGACTGCGCCAGAAGCCGAGGCAGAGCCGGACCCGCCCCCCTGAAGGAGCCCCGCCCACACCCAGGTCCGGCCAGACACGTCCCCAGCGAAGTCCCGCTGCTGCCAAATCACAGGCAAGGCTGGCTCGCTCTACAGGGCCCCGCCCCTCATATGCCCCGCCCACGCCAGCCCTCGCAGACCACGCCTCTCCTCCCCGTCGGCCCGCCCAGTTCCCTCTGCGCCCCGCCCCGCCCCACGGACGCTGCTAGCTGACAACCGGCCTAAGGGAGGCGCGGAGGCTCGGGAGGGCTCCGGCGCGACCCGACTGCAGAGCCGCTCGGTTGGGGTCTGTGCTGCGGGGCGCGGGCGCCGTCAGAGTCGGGGCCGGGGCCGGGCCAGCCAGAGGCTCGGAGCGCAGTGCTCCGGGCGGGTGGCGGGGAGGCTATGGCGGAGCCCACAGCGCGACACCTGTCGCTGCCCTCGGGGCTGCTGGAGCTGTGCGCGTTGCTGGGCGCCTCTCAGGACAGCCTCCGCGGCCTGGAGCACGTAAGTGGCGGGAAGGGAAACTGAGGCAGGGTATTGGCCGGAGCGGCGCCGGCGGGTGGCTGCGTACCCCTGTGGCGCCGGAGCCTCAGGGTCGAGTCCCAGCTATAGGGCGTGAGCGCTGGCTCAGGCTTGGTGTGTGTGTGTGTGGGGGGGTGGCAGCTGGCCATCTTTCCCTCCCTCTGAGCCCACCCACCTCTCCGGGCGAGGGCTAGCTGCACTTGTACTTGGTGCACTTGTGGTGGTGCAGACATGCTTCTGTGCATTGAAGCGTCGAAGCGTTCCTCCGCCCTCAGGATGCCACCATCTGGGGCGAGGTGCTGGCCCAGCGGGGACCCGAGGAGTCCACGGTCAACTAGACAAGATCCTCTCCGAGTAGCGACTACATGGTTCCCTTCACCGCACAGAGCTTCCCTGCTCCCCCCCACCCCCCAGCAGTGGTTTCTGTGCTCTGCGCTGAATTGTGAGGTTTCGGATGTTAGAACCGACCACCAGCTTTGAATATTCCGCTTTTAGTCGGGCTAGCTGCAGAGTAGTTTCTCTTCACTTACTGTGCAGCTCCTTTTCCCTTCCCTCCGTTTGCACCCAGAAGCCAAAGATAGGCTTATTTCCCCGTCTCTGGAAAGACAGAACCTTCTGAACGCCTCATTCTGTGCTGTATTTCTGTGCTGTATTTTTCCATTTTCTTAGTTCTGAAACCTGGGTTGTTTTCTCCCGATCCATCGGTGCCTCTCTTCTTCCAGAGAACTGTCGTTTTTCTCCAGAGATTTCCCCAGCGTCCCCTTAAGTGTCTGGATAAATCCTCGGAGTGTTTACCTATGACAACATGGAAAAAGCATAAAGGCATGCATATTGGTTGATGGTTGGACTGTCCAGGGACAATAAATAGTGGAGGCAAAATGGATGCTACCAAGAAAAGTTAAACATTAAGTAAAAGTAACCAAATAAGTATTAAAGCCTAAATAGTCCCGTTCATAAGCCGAGGTGACCGACCAGTCAGTAAGTAGCATTAACCCACGTGGAAATGATTTAAGAATGTCCCCGTTAGAGTTCTCCCCCTCTATTGCCAGTTTGCCCTCTGCCTCTTCATTGTCTCTCTGCCTCTAATTTACCAAACGGAAACTGCCTTCTTTTTCTTAGTATCGGACGGAAATAATCTGGTTTCACCTGTGGTTGTCTGAGCATCTATATCTTGGCTTCCTGGGTCTTGCAGTGTACCCCTTGCCTGTTCATTGTGAGGCACGCCCTAGAGAACAGGCTGAGTCAGCTTGGGTATTCACAGTGGTACTTTCCTAAATTAGGCCGGTGGTGGCACCCCCAGGTTAAGTGAGGGGAAGTTTCATTTTAGTTTTCCTTCTTGCTTCTGCTAGGGATTTCAAACGGAGGAACAAAACAAAACAAGAAACAGTCCAGGATTAGGAAAAAAAGGGGGAGGTGAGATTGTGGACTAAACTTTGGGGTAATGTCACCGCTTTATGTCAACATCAGTGTCACAATCAGCCAGACAGATTTTATTAGTTTATTTTTTGTAACAATTCTCTTTTGAATGTTTGAGGCTTTAAAATAATTTTTAATTATGCTTTTTAAGATTGTCATTTAACAGTCAGGTGGTGGGGCACATGCCTTTAATCTCAGCACTGGGGAGGTAGATCTCTGAGTTTGAGGACAGCCTGGCCTACAGAGTTCCAGGATAGCCAGAACTACACAGAGAAACAACAACAACAACAACAAACAAACAAAAACCAAAGCAAAATACGAAATGAAACAAAAAATTGGCAGTTCACTGGGTGTGGTGGCTTGCTCTTGTAATCCCAACCCTTGGGAAACTGCGGCAGGAGGATTGCTGTGAGTTCTAAGTAGGTCAGCATAGGCTACTAAGTGAAACCCTGTCTTCAAAAACAAAACAAAACAAAAACCTTTGGGGTCTAGTGGCACAAATCTGTAGTCCTAGTACTTGGAAAGTAGAAGCAGGAGGATCCGGAAGGAGCTCAGGCTTGCCTTGGCTGTGTAGTAGGTTCATAAGCTAGCCTGGGCTACTCTCAAAGAATAAGTTACTATTTATCTGTGATCTGGGCATTCCTGTTTGGTGACACATAAAAACAGAAGGCAAGAGTCTGAGAAATACCCAGCTTAAGGTCAAGAGACACAGTGCCCTGCTTATTTCTTAGAGGGTGAACCTAACTCTGTTTTAGCTTTTAGATGGGGGTGAGGACTAGTCATTTTGTTGGAAATCCTGCTAAGTATTTTAGGGTTGAACAGTTCCCCCTGTGAATCACTGGTCAGTTTTGATTTCTCCCAACCATGGCTGAGGATGGAGCTCTTTATTGGTTGATGGGACGTGAGAGAATCCACTGTAAATTCATCCAAGGATGAGCGATGTGCTTATACTGCCTTCTGCACCATTCCAGTGGAGGGCTTTCTGTTCTGTTGTCAGCAGTACCAATGAAACTTCCTGGATGATGACACTGTCCCTTTATCTACACTGTGTAACAATGTAGTCATTGGCCACAAGAGGCCACTCAACCAGGCCAAGGGACCAGCTTTTACATTTAATTTACTTATTTGAATTAAAATTTTTTCCCTTTCATGTGTATGGGTATTTTGCTTATGTGTATGTATGTATGTGTATCTTGTATATGTGTGCCTACAGAGGCCAGAAAGAACATCAGATTTCCTGGAAGTGGAGTTATAGTGGATTGTGAGTGAGCTGCCATCTAAGTCCTGGGATTTGAACCTGGGTGCTGAGCCCTCTGGAAGAGCAGCCAGTACTCTTGTTTGTTTGTTTTTTTCGAGACAGTGTTTCTCTGTACTGCTTTGGAGCCTGTCCTGGAATGAACTCTGTAGATCAGGCTGGCCTCGAACTCACAGAGATCCACCTGCCTCTGCCTCCCGAGTGCTGGGATTAAAGGTGTTCTCCACGCCACCAATGCCCGGCTGAGCAGCTAGTCACCCTTAACGGTGGCGCCATCTCTCCAGCCTGGTTTTGATTCATTTTGATTTCAGTGGAGTCCTGCTGTGACTGTGTTGGATAGCACAGTTCCAGAACATTAAAAACTTGTGAATTTCTTTTAGCTCTCTAGTGACAGCTAATCCTCCAGGGGCAAGTAATACTGCCGTGTAACATGACTTAGAAGTAAACTTATCACCCTATGAGGAAGGCGGGCTCTGGATTTTGCTTTTTAACTAGCCTTTAAAAACTGATCATTGGATAGAGATTTAATAAACATGAATGCAGGAGATAGCAGTCTGTCTGGCTCAGCTTGGGCTGGCAGAAGTTAGGCTCAGTGTTGGCATAGTCTGTGACACTGTCTTCTCAGCCCTGCAGTGAGAGCAGCTACAACATGTGTCACCAAATAGCCTACAAGCACCATACTCTTAATGGATGGGCCTTCTATTTGCAGGAATTTATTCCTTTCTTTCTTTCTTTCTTTTTTTTTTATACAGGGTTTCCCTGTTCAAGAGTGTCTCCAACTTGCTCTGTAGACCAGGCTGGCCCCAAATTCACAGGTCCTCCTGCCTCTGCCTCCTGAGTGCTGGGATTAAAAGCATGCGCCCCACCACCACCACCGGGCTATTGCAGAGAAGGCTTTCCTAGTATAGCGCTCCAACGTGCTCATTGCTACTTTTTGAATGGTAAAACTGTCTTCTTAATACAGTCAGAAAGACAAGAATGTTTTCCATGTGTAATGACTGCTGAGACAGCGGAATTATTAAAAAAATAGCTCATTTATTTTAATTTTATTTGCACTGGTGTTTTGCCTGCCTGCATGTCTGTGTGAGGGTGTCAGTTCTTGGAGTTACAGACAGTTGTGAGCTGCCTCGTGGGTGCTGGGAATTGAACCTGGGTTCCCCGGAAGAGCAGTCAGTGCTCTTAACTACTGAGCCATTTCTCCAGCCCCTGAGACAGTAGGATTTTCAACACATTCTTTTTGCTTGTTTGTTTTGTTTTGTTTTGAGGCAGGGTCTCACCATGGAACTCTGGCTAGAACTTGCCATGCAGACCGGGCTGGCTTTGAACTCACAGAGACCCACCTGCTTCTGTCTCTTGGATCCTGGAATTAAAGGGGTGCTTCACTGTGCTGGCTAGTTTAATGTCAACTTGAAACAGTCTAGAGTCATTGGAGAGATGGGAACCTCCATTGGAAAATGCCTCCATAAGATGTGGGTGTAAGGCATTTTCTTAATTGGTGATTGATGGGGGAGAGTCCAGCCCATTGTGGGTGGCATCATCCCCAGGCTGGCGGTCCTGGGTTCTGTAAAAAAGCAGATTGAACAAGCTGTGAGAGCAGCAGCATCCCTCATGGCCTCTGTATCAGCTCTTGCCTCCAAGTTCCTGCCCTGTTTGATTTCCTGTCCTGAGTTCCTTTGATAATGAACTGTCATGTGGAAACATATTCCAAGTGCAGCCTTCCCGTCTCTCTGTCCTGGTGTTTAATCACAGCAATGATGCCCCTAACTAGAACACCCAACCATGCCTGGCAGAGCACATTACTTTTCAGATCTATTTTTTAATGTTTATGGGTGTTTTCTCTACATATATGTCTGTGTACCAGATTGTACAGTGCTCAAGGAGGCTGGAAGAGGGTGTCAGGTCCCCGGGGACTGGAGTTACAGATGGTTGTTAGCTGCTGCCATGTGGGTGTTGGGAATTGAACATGTGACTTTTGCAATAGCAGCCAGTGTGCCTAACTGCTGAGCCATCTCTCCGGGCCCTTGAGCACACCATTTTAAGTGACTAAAGAGAGGACAATACAAGGTTCTGGCTTTGGTGTGATGAAGACCCAGGCTGGCTGGGGGTTCAGAGTTTACCAGAAATGCAAACCCAGGGACAGAATCACCTGAGAGCCATTTGTGCTGTGTGAGGGGCTGGAACCGTACCATATTCTTTCCTACCCTCACAACCCAAAACACTGGGAAGCTGAGGTCTTCAAGGAGATGCTGTGGGAGGTAGTGGCCCTGAAGGAGGGGGTCTGTGAGAAGGGGAGGTGGGATCCTGGAGGGGAGGTCTAGGAGAAGACTCTGGTGGTACAGCTCTGCAGCAGCCCACCCTCTGGCTCCAGTCTGGTAAATGAGTGTGAGGGATGAAGGTCTTTCTGGTGAGGCAGGGAGTTGAAGAGTATCAGGCCACTGAAGAGCAACAGAGTCCGTTGTGAAGGTGTATGCTTCAAGAGCCCTGCAGAGAGGCTAAGTTATACATGGCATTGGGGTACCTTGGCTTGGGGGGGGGCACAGGCTACCAGTTTTGCTCAAGGGCACACAATACTGTGACACATGTGATATGCACATTCAGACACTTGATTGTGGTGCACGGACAAATAGGTGTGTGCAGGGTCTCTGCCCCCCCCTCCAGGTATTTGGTGTGTTTGTTAGATCTGGTGGCTCCCTTCTGAAGAGTCTGGATGCTGACACTGGTGGCAGCCTTGTACCAGGTGGGCAAGGTGTCTTCACTATTCAGGCAGAACCAAGAAGGGTTTGTTTCTGGGTCACATGAGCCGCCTGGTGCTGGTCTGCAGACGACACTTCAGATGGCAGCAAGACTTGCTCAGGCCTGTGACAAGGTGGGGTTTGCACATGGTGAGAAGATGATACAGTGTCCACAGGTTGGAGTCCTATGTCCCCAAACCCAGACTGTAATGAGACCTGGTGCCCTCTTCTGTTGTGCCAGGGTACATGAAGACAGGACACTGTATACCTGATAAATGAATCTTAAAAAAAAAAAAAAAAAAAAAAAAAAAAAAAAGAATTAAAAAGAAAAGAAAAATAAGTCAGAGGTAAGGGCTTCATCTTCCCTCATCTTCCTTCATCTTCCTTCATTTTCCATCATCTTCCATCACCTTCCTTCATTTTCCATCATCTTCCATCATCTTCCTTCATCTTCCTTCATCTTCCCTATGTTTTTCTCTGTGTGCTATTTCTTCACCCCTAGTAGAAGCTATTCTTTAATAGTTGAGAGAAAAGAAAAGGAAAAAAAAATTGTAGGTGGAAGACGGGATTTTAGAAGCCAGCAGTGTAACTTTTGAATCTGAAATGGACCCCGATGCTCAGTGGGTGCTCAGGGAGGCAGCTAGAGTTTCTGAGTGGAGCAGGAACCTGGTAGCTGTCTGCCTTTGCTGCAGATATATCTTCATATGGAGGGAGATCCAGGAGTCGGGAGTCAGGCTAAGGACTCCAATCTGGGAAGAGGGCCCTGCAATGGGCTAAGTAGGAGCACTGAGCAGAGGAAGGCTGGAATCAACGGAGTCCCACACACAGTCTGCCACATTACCTGGGCAAACTTAGTTGTTCCTTGTGACTGTGATTGATGAGATGATTCTTGGTGTAGGGACACTTCCCCCATACCCATGGTTCTAAAGGAGGGTTGTGTTTTCAACTAATGTCAGACCTGGTGGGCTCTGGCAGCAGACTCTGTCTCTATGACTGGAGACATGGGTGTTATTTTTTTGGTCTTTAATCCCATGGGGTTTGTTTTCACGAATGATGGAGAGATCAATTGACAGGACATGTTGCTCATGGAACAACCTTGGGTGGGGGGAGCTCTCATTCCTTCCTCTGATTTCCTCTTAACTGTGTGTGTGTGTGTGTGAGTGTGTGAGTGTGTGTGTGACATTTTAGTGCCACACCATGTGTGTGGAAGTCTGGAGACAACTCGTGGGAACTGGTTCTCTCTTTTACCGTGTAGGTTCTGGTGAGAGCAGTCTCTCAGGTCCTCAGGCTTGGTAGCAAGTGCCTTTACCTGCTGAGCTGCCTCGCCCGCCCATCCTACTGCTTATGAGACCTTAGCTCAGCTGACCTAAACTCTCTGCTCTTTCTTACTCCACCTCCCAGGTTGTTGGGGGTCACAGATCTGTGCCACCATGCCCAAGTGATCCTCTGGCTTTTACTAAACATTGACTTGTGCTTGTTCCTTTTTTTTTTTTTTTTTTTTTTTTTTTTGCTGATTATGATCCCATTGCTTTTGGGAGAGTGCCCTTCCGAAGCCATCAGCGATTGCCTGACATCCTATACCTGCTTTACTTTGCTTTGCAGTTCTGGACGGAACTCAAAGCCTTTTGCATATTAAGCAAGTGTTCCACCACTGAGCTACACCACAGCCTTCCAATTTGGGCTTAAAAGAATTTGGGCTGTATGTCCAGCTTTTACTGATTCCGGGGAACCATGTGCCCAAAGGAGAGAGATGTGTCTCTGCACTCAGTCTGTCAAAGCCTTGCCTGCTTCTCTGCTTCTTGGCCCAGATTTGTCAGGGCCTGGATATAATGTGAACAGTGTCCCAGGGGGCCTGAGAAGTATAACACTAATGCAGGTGCTTGTGCAATATGACAACATTGAGAACATCTCTCACCACTCTGAGTAGGACGCACATGAGTGCTCCTGGGGGCTTCCCCCCTGACTGATCACTTGACCCACGTGCTTGCCTGGGTGCTACACTCAGTTGGAAGAAGAAGTTGCAAATTGAGCTTGCTTCCAACAACTCAGGGCAAAGCCAGCATTTGAACTTGTGTCTGTGTATCACAGACCCTGGCTCTGAACTGTGGTTGCTCCTGAATCCCCAGCCTGTGGGCCACATGTAGGGCCCAGAAAGTTCTGGAGAGACTCATCTACTGATACTGGATAGGGTTAAAGGACAGGGTTCCTCTGCTGGAGCCTGTGTGTGCATGGAGTTTTGAAAAGCAGAGATGCTACTAACAAGGTGCCCCCCTGCAGAGGGAGTCATGAATGAGGGTGGACACGGGCAGTAGTAGTTTCTTTCTGCTTTTTGCATTTAGCTGTGCTAACACGCGAGTGTGTGTGTGTGTGTGTGTGTACGCCCTCATGCATGTGGAGGTCACACGTTGATGTTGGATATCTTCCTTGATCACTTTTTTCTACTTTAGTTATTGAGGCAGGGTTTTTTCCACGGAGCCTGTAGCTCACCAGTTCACCTAATCTGGCTAGCCAGTCTGCCCCAGGCCCTAGGAATTCCATCTCTGCCTCTCCAGCTCTGGCATCATAGGTGGGTGCGGGGGGGGGGGGTAGATCGTGTTTTACACTCCAGCTACACACGCGGCGGTGACTCCTGCCTTCTCTTTCCTAGATCGCCCAGAAACGAGGAGTGAAGAGTGTCTCCCCCCTTGCCCCTGAAGTTCTGTCCGTTTTCGTGCCTCCTTTCACCACACAAGATGATGGCCAGGCGGCTGGCACCAGCTGTATGCTCAGCAAAGCCAGGAGGCGGTCCTTCCGGAAGAAGAGGGAAAAGCCCAGGACCGAGTACTGGAAGAGCCACCCGGGAGACTCAAAGGGGCCGGATTCTGAGGATGTTGCCATCCCAGGGGGCGTGGACCTCCTTGCCCTGCCCCAGCTGTGCTTCCCAGGTACCGTGCAACCTGCATGCAGTGTCCCTTACACTGCGTCCTCACTGACCGCTCTGCTCAACTGGGTTGGATAATGGGTTCAGGTTTTGTTTTTGTTTTGTTTTGTTTTGTTTCCCCAATCTTTGTTTTTTGAGACAGAATCTTGCTCTGTATTCCAGAATGGCTGAAACCCCCCAATCCTCCTTCCTCAGCCTCCCAATTCTGGGATCACATAAGTACTCATGGCACCTGGAAGTCAGTCCCTTTGGTCTGGGGAAGTTAAAGCCTGAGAAGCCAGGAGGGTGCCCGCCCTCCCTCTCTGTCCCCTGCTTCCTGTTTATTAAACCGAGAGGAACAGGTTGCCCTTCCACCCCTGAGCGCACTAGTGCCTGTCCATGAGAGTGCCTGCGTGTCTGGGCTCCGTGTCTCTGCCGGCCAGGCTGTGGTGATGCACACCTTTAATCCCAGCATTTGGGAGGTGGAGGCTGGTGGATCTCTGTGAGTTCAAGGCCAGCATGGTCTACAAATTGAGTTCTGGGACAGCCAGGGCTATGCAGAGAATCCCTGTCTTGAAAAACCAAAACCAACTAAACAAAAAAAGAATCATTAAATGGCTGTTGTGGCATGCTCAGCCCAAGGGCTGGGTTAGGTTCTGTCCCTGGTTCCCCCTCACTCAAGCCTGCTGCCCTTTCCTGGCTGCAGGAGTCATACCCGAGAAACAGATACAGGTTAATCTGCTCTGTCCCGGAAGCGTGGTGTTCCTGTTGCTGTTGCCACCTGTACAGGGTAGAGGGACTCTGAAGAAGCTGCTGGCTGGGAAAGTATGGAAGCAGGGGGCCTGGCCAGAAAGCTTTTGGTGCTTGTTAGGGGAAGTGCTGTCCACTTTGGCTCACCGGTTACCCAGGCCTTTGATTCATACAGCAGCCGCCTGAACTGGCTTCCCCATTCTTTCTGATCTGCCTGCAGGGGGCGTGTGTGTGGCTCCGGAACCAAAAGAGGATTACATCCATTTCCTGGTACTCACGGATGTCTGTGGGAACAGAACCTATGGTGTGGTTGCCCAGTACTACCGACCCCTGCATGTAGGTGGTGGATCTGTTGCTGTCCTCTGAGTCTGGGGTGGGCCCTTTGTTGTTTACCTGTGGTGGTGTGGTAAATCATCTGTTACTTTTCCGGCAGTTGTGTGACTCTCTGCAACATTGTTTTCCTGTTGTGTGACTCTGCAACATTGTTTTCCTGTTGTGTGACTCTGCAACATTGTTTTCCGTTGTGTGACTCTGCAACATTGTTTTCCCCAGTGCTAACAGCCTCCAGAACTTTTCATCTCCCAGCCCATGCCCACTCAGCTCTCCTCCTCCCCCTCAGCCCCAGTAGCCACTCAGGTGCTCCCTGTCTCTGGATTTGTCTTCTGCACACTCCAGGGTGTGGAACTGCCTGGCGTCAGCCCCTTCGCAATGGACTCTTGTCACTGAGAGCTGTGTTGTGTGTACCGTTGTGTCCTGGTGGTACGTCTCTGTTCATCCCAAGGCTGGAGGTGGCCGCGTAGTCCTTGCTCCTGGAAGCCCAGTGTTGCATGGTGCGATCCTTCGCAGGGCTTGTGTACATGGACTGTGAGGCCGGAGCTGGTGCAGGCCCCTCCTTACATGGCATTTCTGTATGAGATGCTGACTGTTGGCAGGCTAGGCTTGTCCTGTCAGCACAGGGGGTGACCTGTGTCCTTGCCGCCTTTTGTCCAGGATGAATATTGCTTCTACAATGGCAAGACGCACTGGGAACCCAGCATGAGCTCTGCTAGACGCTTTGTGCCCTTTGCCGTGTGTGTGGTGTCCCGGTTCCCATATTACAACTCCCTCAAGGACTGCCTCTCCTGGTAAGCTGGGGCCAGCGTTGTTGTTAAGAGCTAGGTGTGGTGGGCCATGGTCAGGTGGGCCCAGGAGCACTGTGGGAGTCCTGTGGGAACCATGTGGAATTGGGGTGGCAGGAGGAAGCCACCACTAAGGGCTCCAGCTTTATTTATTTATTTACTTATTTATTTTAAGAGCATGGCTGGGTATCGAAATGCATGCCTCTCTTTAATCAAAGCACCTACCTGGGAGGTTGAGGCAGGAGGATTGCCTTAAGCTTGAGACCAATCTGGTCTACATAGTGAATTCTAGCCAGCCTATCTCAAAAACAACAACAACAACAAAAATCAATAAAATAAAAATAAGAAAGAGCTGTATATGAAGAGAAAGTCTAGACCTCATGACCTGAGAGAATTAGCAGGCTGTCATTTGCTGGACGATTTAGTGACATTCACAAATAAGTCAAATCCTGGCAGTGTCCATAGCCCTTTCTGCTACTACTGATGGGAGTTCTGAGGACGTAAGGTATTTCTGGAAGACCAGGAAGGCATTTGGTGTAACCAGGCTTTGACAGTGAGATGGGATGGGTCCTGACCCTGGGCATGAGCCAGGTTTACAGCCCTGTGTGTTGGAGTTCCAGAAACCATGGTTCAAGGGTTAGGGATGTAAGCTCAGTGGGTAGATTGTTTGCTCAGCCCTGGGTTGCATCTGCATAAGCCCAGCCTGGTAGCAGGTCCTACCACTGGGGAGGCAGAGGCAGGAAAATCAAATGTAATCCTTAGCTACTTAGGGAGTTTGAGACCGGCCTGGGCCACATTCAAAGAGGTCATGGTCCTAGGACTGGCGCTACTAGTTTGACTAAAGACAGGTAGCATGAGGTCCCCTTCCCGAGACAGAACAACAATCCTCAGGGTCACTCACTGAGTGACTAAACGGCACTTGGTGTCTTTTAAGGGACACTTGTTTTAGTTAGACTCTACAGGAGTCTCAGTGTGAATTCTCAGCATTCATATTTGAATTCCAGCGTTATCACGACTCACTTTTCAAACACAATTGCCTCTTGGGCATAGTTCAGTCTGGCACCTGCCATAGGGAGACGATGTCTTTATAGAACAGATAACTTGGTTGGCCTTAGTGAGGGAGTGAAATGAGAAAAATGCATGTTTATAGAAAGGTGTGCCAGCCCGGGGAGTGATGAGGGTGGGGCCTTTGTTCCTCGGAAGTAGACAGCTCCGCTACATCCCACCACGCCCTGGTCTATAGAACACATGGTGGCTTTTAACCCTGGGCGGTTAGGAAGAAGCTCATGGCTGAAGGCAGGTGCTGCCTCGGGAGACGGTGGGAAGGCTTGCTTCCTGGGCCGGTTCTCTCTAGTGCCCGTTCAGCAGCCAACTAAGCGATCACATGGCGGCAGTCCCTCCTGGTGGGTGCCAGTGCAAACATGTGGCATCAGAAGGTCCACCGCCGTGCCGTCTGAGCCCTCCCTTCTGTGGTCACTGCTGCACCGTCACAAGGGGACAACAGCTACAGAGGAGCAAATGGCAGAAATGCAGAATGTACGGTGGTGTGCCGGGCCGGTCCTAGCCTCCTGGCGGGAGGGTCGCGAGTTCAAGACATCCTTAAGTAACTGGCAAGTTTGAGGTCAGCATGGGCTACAGGTGGCCCTGCCTCAGCTAACCAACCAGAGTGGCATGACTAAACAGGCTTTGGATACACAGCAGAAAGGACACATTTGTGTTGGGGACAGTAGTTTATAGGCAGTTTGACTTTAAATTTAAAAAAAAAAAAAAATATATATATATATATATATATATATATATATATTTGTTGATGTTGTTTTTGTTTTTTCGAGGCAGGGTTTCTCCGTGTAACAGAGCCCTGGCTGTCCTGGAACTAGACCAGGCTGGCCTTGATCTCACATAAGATCCACCTGCCTCTGCCTCCCAAGTGTTGGGATTAAAGGTGTTATATTTTTACAGTAAATTCAAATACAGAATATTGGCTTTTTCTACACCCAGACATAAGATCTGTGAATAGTTATATTTGGTGTTTATGTACAAGCGGAAGTGCTCTGAACTGTGGTTGTTATGGGTGGGCTGTCTTTCCTGAGGAGGGGGCTGCCTAACAAGGAGGGACGCCATGGGTACTCAGCCCTGTGGACACCACATCTTAGTCCTACGGGCCAGCTTGCCCCTGACGAAATCCTTTTAGATGCCAGCTACACTTTCACATGCAATTATGAGGGCAAACTTTTCTGAGATGCAGAGTATATTGGGAGAGCCCTGCCGTTTCTCTGTAGGTCCTCCACCTGTGTCCCATGTGACTACTTCCAAGGTCTCCTACCCTCCAGTCAGTTCCCATGGGACAGGCCTCTGCCCTCAGGCTACCATTTACCTCAGTGGGTTTTGCTGTTTAGGTGGTTGTTTTTTGTGTTTTTTTGTGTTTGTTCGTTTGAGACAGGATCTCTCTATGTAGCCTAGGCTGGTTCTTCTTCCTACCTCTGCCTGAGTCCTGGGATCGTAGTCATAGGTACACAGCTGGCCACCCCTTTTCACATTTTAAAGTTTTATTTACTTTAAAAGTCTGAATGCACCAGGCAGGCGTTGGTGGCGAATGCCTTTAATCCCAGCACTTGGGAGGCAGAGGCAGGTGGATCTTATGTGAGATCAAGGCCAGCCTATGGTCTAGAGAGCTAGTTCTAGGACAGCCAGGGCTCTGTTACTCAGAGAGACCCTGCCTCAAAAAAACAAAAACATCTACAAAAATACACTTTGGAACCTTCCTTCAAGCAGTCCAAAGTCTCATGTTTCTAATCTTCCCCACTGAAGCATAGTGTTCATGCAGTTAGTTATACACACACTTTCTAGACATCCCCCCCCCCCCACAACCCCGGAGTGATTAGCATCCAAAACCAAAATAGCCAAGGGGGACAATTGGAACGGTGACAACTGGACTGTTGTTTTACTTTTTCTTTTTCATTTCAGTTTATTGACTCATCTGAAGCTCTGTAAAGATTTTGAAGTTGACAATCACATAAAAGATTTTGCTGCAAGACTATCGTTGATACCCAGCCCACCACCTGGGCCGCTCCACTTGGTAACTGAGAGCTGGAATTGTGTTGAGTTTTTCTGTCATGTGTTGAAGACCATTGAGTCAAAATGTTTGTATGTTTTGTTTTTGTTTTTTTCGAGACAGGGTTTCTCTGTGGAGGCTGTCTTAGAACTCGCTCTATAGACCAGGTTGGCCTTGAACTCACAAAGATCCCCCTGTCTCTGCCTCCTGAGTGCTGGGGTCAAAGGTGTGTGCCACCACTGCCCGTCAGAGTCAAAGTGTTTTAAATTGTTGCCAGTTTAACATTCTTGCCAGATATTGCCCTCCTGGAATTCTCAGTGAATGGTTTTACATATTCACAAGTTCAGGGAAAAGTTAGACATTTGGACCTGAGGTTTGGCTGAGAGGCTCGTGACCGGCAGAGCTGGCCACGTGTGATGTGTCTGTTGAGTATTAATTAACTCAGGAGATTGCTTCTTGATCTCCAGAAACATGCCCAACTTTCCAGTCTGGATGTCCTTTACGTTTCCTTACGTTCCTTTGTCGTGGGGGTTGAGTGTGGGGCTCACTTTTAGTCTTTTTCTTCTGTACATGCAACTGATAGAAACAGCCAGCCTCCTGGCCTCTGTTCTTAGAAGTGCCACTGTGCTGTTTAAACAGTGGATATGTATTTCCCCAGCTGAGTTCCAGTCCGAGAGGTTTTACTAGCTTCTTCAGGCCCCAGGCCCTCCCCGCGCTCCCCCCCCCATCCCCTAGGGAAGCTGCATTAGTTAATCTTGTCATGGCTGGGATAAAATGCTGGTAGAAGCAGTGGTGTAAGAGAAGGAGGGCTCCAGGGACGGTCCCACCCCCGCTGGGAGCTGGGAAGGCACTGTACTGTTCTGGGCAGTAAGAGTGTGTGGCTGTAGCTGTTTTCTTCTTGGGGGGTCAGGAGGCAGGGTCTAGACTGGAAGCAGGTCTTGGACTTTGGTGGCCAGAGAGAGGCCTGCCCATAATTCAGTACTTCAGCCAGCCCTCATTTCTTCCTTCTTATTTATTGTTTTACGTTCCAATCCCAGTTCCCCCTCCCCCCTATCCTCCCTCTCCCCCCACCCCTCCTCCCTTCTGGTCCTCAGAGAGGTAGGGCCTCCCCTAGGAAGTCTACTCAGTCTGTCCCACCATCTCATTGAGGCAGGACCAAGGCACCTCCCCACCCCCACCCCAGTGTCTAGGCTGGGCAAGGTGTCTCTCCATACAGAATGGGCTCCACTAAGTCAGTCTGTGCATTAGAGTTAGGTCTCGGACCCACTGCCAGTGGCCTCCTATATCGTCCCAGTCACACCATTGTCACCTATGTTAAGGGAGTCTAGTTCGGTCTTGTGAAGGTTCCCCATCTGTCAGACCTGAGTCAGTGATCCCTAGCTCGGGTCAGCTGATTGTGTGGGTTTCCCCATCATAGTCCTGACTCCTTTCTTCATATTATCATTCCTCCCTCACTTCTGTTGTCCTCCAGGAGCCTGGCCCATGGGTTAGTTGTGGACTTTTGCATCAGTTTTCATCTGTTTCTGGAAGAGGGTTCTAGCTTGTGGATTGTAGGCTGGGTATCTTTTGCTTTATGTCTGGTATCCACTTACTGTATTTGTCTTTCTGGGTCTGGGTTACCTCACTCAGGATTGTTTTTTCTAGTTCTGTCCATTGCCTGCAAATTTTAGGATGTCATTATTTCTTACCGCTGAGTAGTTACTCCATTGTGTAAATATACCACATTTTCTTTATACATTCTTAGTTGAGGGGCATCTAGGTTGCTTCAGCCCTCATTCCTTCCTTCTTTTGTTTTCCAAGACAGGGTTTCTTTATTTGGCCTTGCCTGTAGACCAGGCTGGCTGGCCTCAAACTTGCAGATATCCAATATCCAAATGCTGGGATTAAAGGCAGGCGCTACCACCACCTGGCTCTCACAACAGATTCTAATGTTTCGAGAGTGGGACATTTTGACCTCTGGCACAGACAGTTCTCTGAATTAACACTGGCTCTTGGTCCTCACAGATATTCAACATGAAGCCGTTGCAAGTTGTCTTTCCCTCTCGAGCGGACCCCGAGAGCCCCATCATCGACCTGGACCTTCACCTGCCCCTGCTATGCTTCCGGCCTGAGAAGGTGTTGCAGGTGTGTGGGTGCCGGGGCATTGCTCGATAGACAGGGTTACAATGCACAATGCATTCTATAGTGCAGGCAGTGGCTTCGGTGCTGCTCAGGGATGGAGCACTGGCCTCAACCCCCCCCCCCCAGGTGTGAACCCTGGGACTGCCCAAAAGTACAAAGCCAGGAACCCATGTACTCAGAATGTCTGCGCACCGTGCTTTGGTTTTGGAAAACAAGAGTGGGGGATGAGGCCAAGAGCAGCCTCTGGCCCTGGGTGGGGGGGAGAAGGGTTTCCCACATCCAGCCCAGTGCGGCCAGAAGCAACCGGAAACAGGCAGTGTTGTTGCTCCCCAGATCCTGACCTGCATCCTGACGGAACAGCGCATCGTGTTCTTCTCCTCAGACTGGGCCCTGCTGACCCTGGTGGCTGAGTGCTTCGTGCTCTACCTTCACCCCCTGCAGTGGCAGCACACATTCGTGCCCATCCTGTCCGGTCAGATGCTGGACTTTGTCATGGCCCCCACCTCTTTCCTCATGGGCTGCCATCTTGACCACTTCGAAGAGGTCAGAAAGGTTAGAGAGCGAACTTCGACTGGGGTGGTGGGGGTGGGGAGGGCATAAAACCCACGTGACTCCATCGTGCGTGCGGCTCTCTCTGTGGCTCCCTCTCCCACGCGCAACCGCGTAACCGTAACCTGCTGCGCAGTGAAAAGCAAAGGAAGGAAGTGCTCGCTGTGCTGGATGGAGTGCGCCATCGTCGTCATCATCATCGTTCTGTCTGTGGGCTCCCGTGCTCTGGGCGCCGCAAGGCACGCGCGGACCGCACCGCACCGCCTCTTCTGCCCCGGGGCCACGTGCACACACAGTGCAGTCCCATTCTCTCGGTCTCTCTCTTGGTCTCTGGACATGCTTGAAATCCAGATGCAATGCAAGGACCAGAGCCAGCCCTGGGTTAGCCTCCCAGCCCACTTAGGTTAGGATCAACACTGTGGCTTGCAGCAGGCTCTCAGTGGGGACTGGCATTTGGGCACTGGAGTGGTGTTACCTCGGACCTCCACTGCTAATTAGCCCTGTAACCTGGGTGAATCAGTCCCTTCCTGAGCCTCTTTCCTCTTTTATGAAGACAGGCAGGGGCGTGTCCTCGTGGGCCCAGCTCCAAGCCTGCCACATGGCTGGCTTGCAGATGGCTGCTCTACCCTCTGGTCAGGTCGGGTTGCTGCGGCATGTTTTTCTGTTTTGTTGTTTTAAATGCATTCCCCTGTGCTTCGTTAACACATGCAGTGGGCTGTTCACAGTGCTGGGGGCACCCGTGGGTCTGGCCGGTCACTCTCGGTGTGGCTTGCACTTGCTCAAACAGCAAATTTGCCGTCAAAGGACAGCAAGTTTGCCGGTCTTGTTGCCAAGTGAGACATGGAGCAGCCCCTGGCATATTGCAGATGTTTAATAGAGGATCACTGGGCTGCTAATTGGAGATGGTGTTTTTTGGTTTGTTTGTTTGTTTGTTTGTAAGAATCTCACACTGTTGCCCAGGTCAGCCTGGAGCTCACTGTAGCTCAGGGCAGTCTTAAGTCCTCTCTGCATTCTTCCTGCCTCAGCCTCCCAAGTGCCAGGATCACAGTGTTTGGCTGTGGTGTTTAAATTGTGGCCTGTCATGGACCTTGGGTGCATGGACAACTGTGAGCTTGAGAACAGCTGGCAGATACCGGGGTTGCTTCCCCTTTGGCTGTGACGGCGGTGCTGCTGAGGACAGGGTTGTCCAATAAGTTCTTGTGTGAGCAAGTGACGGTCTCCCTTTTTCCTGGGGATCCAGCCCCAGAGCAGAGCCGCCACTGACTTGGGCTAACCATCCAGGATGCTGCCAGCATCTCTAAGGCAGTTGCTGGACTTAAAACACAGCAGGCAGTCCCCTCTCATGCCCTTTGGTGACTCCTGTTACTGTCTCTGATCCTGGTTCTTCAGTGGATGGCAGCCTGGCAGCTCAGTGCCATCCAGTGCTCATTTATTTCCAGCCTCTAATGGCATCCGTGTCTTTTCATGTTCACATTGGCAGTTCCCCAGGGCAGGGAGAACAACATTGAATTGTGTTTGTTTTGTTTCAGTTTTTTAAAAAGTGTGTGTGTGTGTGTGTGTGTGTGGTATGTGTGTGCAAGGTTGCAGTAGCATATGTGTTGTGGCACGTGTGCAGAGGTCAGAGGATGACGTTTGGATGTCAGTTCTCACTTTCCAATCCGAGGCACAGTCTTGTTTCTGCTTCAATGCTGTGAGCTCCAGTGAGCTTCCGTGTGATCCTCCTGCCTCCACCATCTCCCCATAGAGTGCTGAGATTAAAGACGTGCATTACCAGCTGGGCGTTGGTGGCACACACCTTTGATCCCAGCACTTGGGAGGCGGAGGCAGGCAGATCTCTGAGTCTGAGGCCAGCCTGGTCTACAGAACCAGTTCCAGGACAGCTAGGACTACACAGAGAAACCCTTTCTCAACACCCCTCAAAGTGCATTACCACATCTGTCTTTTAGACTGGTGTTGGGGGAGGGGGAGAAAGGGAGAGAGAGAAAGTATTAGTTTGAGATACAGGCTTGCTTTATAGCTTAGGCTGGTACAAAACTCACTGTTGAAGCCCAGGCTGGCCTGGAACTCATGATCTCTTAACGCATCCTCTGGAGTTACGGAATTGTACGCACCACCATGTCCTGCATTTAACTTTTGTTCTGAGCACTCTCTGTATGGGCAAAAGCAGTGAAGGAAATCCACTGAGTGCTTCTCGCCGTTCTTGGTAGTCTGCTGTCTGCCTGTTTCAGATTCCTGTCCTTCACACCATTTCCTAGAAGTTTAAAGGAAACCCTCCCCCACCCAGCAAGCTGTCCCATTTCTCCTGAGGGGGCAGACGGGTGGACAGGCGTGGGTGTTCTTGCCAAAACCAGTGACTCAGTGTGCAAAAATAGCTCAGGGAAAGGCTGTGCAGACCTCCCCAGGAGGTTTAGGGACAGAAAACCTTACCCTGTGTGCCTTATGGACTAGAAGAAATGGGCAGTACTATGAAGTTTAAAATTGTGTTTCTTTTTTTTTTTTTTTTTTTTTTAATGTCACTCATGAAAAACCATCTTGTTTGGGCTCCTCAGGCAGGAAGATTTTTTTTTTTTAATTTCCGTACATATTTACTTAGTAATTCTGGTCAGGAATCTTGCAGGAAACTTGCTGGGTGATTGGGAAAGGCTGTGCAGACCTCCCCAGGAGGTTTAGGGACAGAAAACCTTACCCTGTGTGCCTTATGGACTAGAAGAAATGGGCAGTACTATGAAGTTTAAAATTGTGTTTCTTTTTTTTTTTTTTTTAATGTCACTCATGAAAAACCATCTTGTTTGGGCTCCTCAGGCAGGAAGATTTTTTTTTTTAATTTCCGTACATATTTACTTAGTAATTCTGGTCAGGAATCTTGCAGGAAACTTGCTGGGTGATTTATTTGTTCTGGAAGATTCCAAGAACGGCATTTTGGGATTGTTTGGTGTTATGCTTCTCCTGGATGAGCTCAGCAGAAAAGAGCCAAGAGGGCCTAGGCCTAAAGTCTAACAAGGCCACATCTTGTGCATCTCTGGCCTTGGCACAGAGGATAACATTGCCTGTCTAGTCAGGGAACCTATGCCTTGAGCAGTCAGACTTTGACTCAAAACACGCTGTGTGTGCACATGTCCCTCATGCCACCCAAGGGGGGTCTTCTAGATGTCTCTGTCACTTTCTTTAGACTCGAGAGTCTTGGAATGTAGTGCTACTTATGCCCAGTATCTGCCCTCAGAGATAAGACTTTAAGAGTCCCTGATATACTTTTTTTTTTTTTTTCCAGACATTCTATTGAGGTCACTAAGCATTGCATTCTGGGTTCTGGGTGGCCGAGCTGACTGGATAGCATTGAGTGTGGGTCTTGTACTTGTAGAGTTCTGGAATGTTCCTTCAAGGCGCCATGAAGCACTACCTGTAGTATTTGTTCTCGGGGTGACGGAAAGTTGACAGCCTGCCTTGGCATCTCGACTCAGGGAAGGTCCGTGGCTTGTGAGAACTGCTCAGTTCTCACAAGGAAAGGGATTCTAACCCTAACCCTGGTGCAGTCCAGACAATTCTCCAAGATGCTGCCGGGTGGCAAGGCACACTGAGTGAGCCCCCTCCTGTGGGGTCCCTGGAGTGATCAAATTCGTAGATTCCCCAAGGCAGGGTGCCTTGTGTCAAAGGGACGGATGGAGCAGCAGCAAGTTAACTTTGAATGTTTTGGGGACAGAGTCTCTGTTTGGGGACAGGCGTGGGTTTGGACAGGTAATAGTGAAGGTTGTGGACTGAGTAGAACTGACACTTAGTGAAGTGCACACAGTTAATCGGATTTACCCACCGCCGCCAGGGTGGGGGTGATCGCACCGGTGCTGCCTCAGTGGATGCGTGTACACATTTGTAGGGTTTTAAAGGCGCGTGCAGACTCAGGCGCTCACTGACCTCTGCGTTCCAGGAGGCGGACGGCTTGATCCTGATAGACATTGACCACGGGAGTGTCACGTGCTCCAAGTCCTCCTCCGACAACGACGCAGACATCTCTGATGTCCCCCTCCTGCTGGCACAGGCCTTCATTCAGAGGTAACGTGAAACCCTTTGTGTTAGAGTGCACTGTGCACCCCAATTCTGTGTTCGCCGAGCCCCCCAGTCTGCTACCGCGATGGGCATTCTTCATACTTGGGATTTGGACGTTATTTTTCACATGTTAACTCTGATTGTTTGCTTATTTATTTTGGTGTTTTGAGGTCGGGCCTCACCACATAGCTGTGGCTGGCCTCAAACTCACAGAGGTCCACCTGCCTTTGTGTTCCGAGGACTGGAATCTAAGGTCTGCACCACTCCCCCATTGTGACTGCTTTGAAACAAAAAGTCATTTGTCTTCATTCAAACCTTTCCTACATATGAATCATGGCCTACGGCAGGGGGGGGGGGGACTCTGGAACCCAGGAAGGTTCCAGGAAGGTTCCTGATGCTGTGTCCATTGTCCCTGGGCCCTGTGCTGTGGTCTCCCAAGCTCCCTCAGTCATTCATTCATTCATCCATTCATTCATTCATCCATTCGCTCACTCACTCACTAGATATGTGTAGTACCTTGTTAACTGCTCTCCGATTGAGCTGCAACAATGACAGAACAGTAGTGCTCCCTGCCCTGTGACGCTCAGGGTGTCTTATCTCCCTGCTCCATTTCTTGACCGTGTGCCGGTTTTTGGAGCTTGCTCAGGGGCCAATACTCAATGTGTGGAAATGCCTTCATCTGTGTGACAGACGCCTGTAAACTTGGTGTTTCGGTTTGACCCAGCCCTGAGACGTCTCACTAGCCACGTGCAGGCATTCAATTCGCAGTCTCAACACTTGAAACCCGTCTGCTCTCAGAGTCGGGTTCTTTCTGTTTCATTTGGGGTGTGGTGGGGCTGGATGGAGCATGCTCAGCACATGCTAGGCCAGCACTCTAGTGCTAAGCCACACTTTGCTAAATAAAGCATTATGGATAAGGGTCACTCAACCTGCATAGTAGTCAGTCACCCCCATTTCTTCCATAATGAGAAGGTTTTTATACTTTTTTAAAAAAGCTTATTTTATGTATATGGTTACTTTGCCAGCAAGTACGTCTGTGTGCCATGTATCTTGTGCCTAAGAGTGACGGGCACTGGACTCAGCTGTCTCTCCAGCCCCTTCATCAGAAGTTTGAAAGACTCCAATGTCGGGCTGGAGAGATGGCTCAGGGGTTAGGAGCACTGGCTGCTAAGGACCTGGGTTCAATTCCCAGCACCCACATGGCAGCTCACAACTGTCTTGTGACTCCAGTTCTGGGGGATCCAGTACTCTCACACAGGCATATGTGCAGGCAAAAACACCAATGCACATAAAATACAAATAAATACATTAAAAATAATGTTTAAAAAGAAAGATCTATTCACAGGTGACCAGAGGGACACATTGGCCAGAGGGACACAGGGTAGTGATCTTTTTTTTTTTTTCCCAGATTCCCCTAGAGGTGCTGAGTTACATTGCTCTTTTGATGGGAAGTGCTCTTCACTGTATGTAGGTCAGGGATAAGGGCCCCTTTCTTGGGTGTGCAGTGTGTGTGTGTGTGTGTGTGTGTGTGTGTGTGTGTGTGTGTGTGTGTGTGTGTGTGAAGGATGAGGTTCTACAGGGAGTAGGCAGCTTCTTTCACCCATCTATCCCCCGAATGGAAGGCTGGTAAGACACCAAACTGCAGGCAGCCCTGTTGTGTGGTCCACGCAGGGGAGTCGCTGATACCCTGCCCGCGCTGTGCCCTGCTCTGGGTTTTGTGTTAACACAGAGTTGTCATAACTCTGTTAGGCAGGGCAGTTCAGCCAGGGCTGGGACACCCACCCACCCAGGCCACCCATGCGGTGTGTCAGGAATGAGTCCAGAGCACCACCCCAACCTGCACCGGCTTCTTAGGATCCCTGTTGGGCCCTTCCAACTTACTGTGCTCATGGAGGGTTGTGGGGACCCAAGAGCCTGTCCTCCTCCTCACCCCCAGGGTCTCCCACCACTTCCCACAGGGTCTTGTAGCAGCCCTGTCTTCCTACAGTCTGGCCCTCTTCACCACATGGGGTCTCTGCTGCCCGTCCCGTCCCTCACCTTCAGCTCTGTAGCTGACTTCCCAGTTTTCTGTTTCCTCCTACTCTGGCACAAGCTCCATGCAGTAGGGAGGGCCTCTGCCTGGTTCACACTCAGCACCATGCCTGGCCTACAGCGGGTACACGAGGGACACTGTGGAACACGTGTGTGCCGCCTCTGTTTGCTTAAAATAGCGGGCTTGTTTGCCAGATACCCAGAGCCTCCTCTTGGGCGAAGTCCATGTCCTTGAAGTGCTGAGGATTGTGCCCAGGGCTATGTCCCTAAGCCCCTGTCAAAATGCATGCCTGCGTGGTGGTGGGGAGGCCAGGCCCCAGGCATGGTGGTGGCTCTGGGGGTGAGTCCCTCTCTGCTGGGAGCAGTGGCTGACCCTCCCGGCAGTCCTGACACAGGAAATGGAGTGCTGTGTCCCGGAAGGAGGCCTGCTGCCTTTAGGTAGGCCTGGGTCTATCTGGAGGTGAATAAACTTTTCCGGTCCTGAGTTTGTAGCACCCTTCTATGTTGCTGACTGACATCAGAGCATCTCAATTAAACTACCTGCCTGCTCATCTTCTGCTCGTGTCACACTCAATCGCTCAGCCTGGTCTGCCTTTTTTCCAGGGTCCAGAGCCTTCAGCTGCACCCAGACTTGCACCTTGCCCACCTGAGCTCCAGCACAGACTTGAACGAGGGCCTTGCCCGTCGCCGAGCCTGGCAGCAGACTCTCAACTGCAAGATCCAGCATATCACCCTGCAGCTGCTCGTAGGCATCTTCAGGTATTTAAGATGGCCACAGCATCTGGGATCGGCCACTGAGCTCATTCCCCAGCCTTTCCTCATGACCATGCCAGCCACCTCCACCCTGCCCGGGACCCTCCCAGCCTTGACCGCCTGTCTCTCCCATCATTAGCCACTTGGATGGTTGTTTTCTGGAAGATGGTGTCTGGAGACCCAGTAGGTGTCACTATGTTCTGGCTGAGGGTCAGCTAAGGGAAGGTCTGTTCCAGAAGCTCTGAAGCAACAGTTGGTCATTTCCACAGGACTCAGAAACTGATGTTGCAGCGTTCTAGGCGCTCAGGACAGATGAGCATGCGAGCGTTACAGCCAGGAAGGTCTTTACCATCGCCCACTGCCTGATGTGTGCCAGTGCTATTTAAGTCCTGCACTGGTATTGGCTAAGTAGTCAGGTAGAGTTCCTGTGTTGAATGTGACACAGTACAGGACCCGAGTTGTCCCTTAAAGAATTATATTACAGCTTGGGGCTTTTTCTTTCTTCCAAATGTTCTCCATCTCTTGTGGCATACTTTTTTCCTCTTGCTGCTTTCTCCCTGCACCCATAGCAAAGGAGGCTCTGATGCAGGCTGTGGTCTGTTCTGAAGGGGCATCCATCCACTCAGGAGGGGCTAGCACAGGGGCGTCTGTCTGCTCAGGAGGGGCTAGCACTGGGGCATCTGCTCAGGAGCGGTTAGCACAGAGCCAAGGCATTGGTGCTCTAACTATATCCAAACCAAAACTTAAACAGCCATGTCTTTAATGTCTTCACTTACATGAAGTAAATTTATCAGGAAAACTAACGAGATTGTCAGAGATGGATTGTATTATTTCTTTGCTCAAAGTGTGGTCCTTTTTTTTCATTCTTTGGAGATAAATCTTTTATGATTGAGGTGGTCAGGGGTTTTTGTTTTTATATTTCTTAAACTACAATAAAATACTTCCTAGCCAGTATGGTGGTGCATTCATGTAACCCAGAATGTGGGAAGGAGGCAGAGGGCGGAAGATTGATAGTGCAAGACTGTTGTCTGCGTTTGAGGCCAGTTTGAGCTACATGAGACTATTCCCCGCTCCCCCCAAAACAAACAAAGCAACAAGAAAAATGCATTTTCACTCACAACGGAAGGGAAGACACTGGGCACATGGACATCAGCCTGGCCACACCCTGCAGGCCACTGACTGTTGGTAGCATGTCGCCGTGGCCTGCGGGGATTGAAAACTGAAGTCCTGTGAGACAGGTGAAGGCGTTGAGGAGAGGCTTGTCTGGGACAGAGTGGTGGCCTGTGTCGGTGATACGTGCATGCCCTCTGCCCCCACACCGACTAGCGTGGTAGCTGATTATTGAGTCTTAATTGATATAAAAGCACAAGGAGGAGGTGGCAGCTCTGCCCCTCCCTCTTCCTAGTTGGAGAGGTGACCATGTAGTCCATCGGATGCTGTCGCTCTGGGGATACAGTAAGTCCCGAGGAGTGTATATCTTGGCACCAAAACAGCGTGTTTCTGCTAGTTCAGCACGCGGCCCTCCTTCTCGTTGCTAGGGAAGTGAAGAATCACTTGAATTATGAGCACCGGGTGTTCAACAGCGAGGAGTTTCTCAAGACCCGAGCAGCGGGGGACCAGCAGTTTTATAAGCAGGTGAGAGAGTGGGGCTTGCTCTGGTTTCCACGCCTTGGCTGCCTCACTTTTACATTCGCTTTGGAGCATAGTGTATTTTAAACAGGAGACAACAGTTACAAGTGTGTAGGTCTGATGGACTGTGGCACACGTGTACACTCGGCTGACCATGCTCTCAATCAAAGCATCAGTCCCCTTTCCCTGTCTCCATCTCCCAGCCTAGGCAGCCTCTGCTCCGGCTAGGAGGAGAGCTTGGCCCTTCTTGCCATTGCCACGCTGGTCTGATCTTAGCGGCCTCCTTGACATTATCCTAGAGCTGGGGTGGAGCCTAACCCTTAATGACTGGTTTGTCCATCATACAAAGCACACAGGGCTTTAATCTGGCAGGCAGCCCTGTGGAGCACCTGTGGATTCACTTTGACACGTTTGAGGTGGGAAGAGCCGCCTGTCTCCAGGGTACAGGGTAATCCGTCCACTGGGTGACATGTGATGGTCCACATGGCCTTTTCCTTTTCTGCCCTGTGACCCTCCTGGTGTGTCCCCCCACCCCCTCTGTTTTTCAAGACAAGGTTTCTCTGTGTGGCTTTGGAGCCTGTCCTGACATTTTCTCTGTAGACCAGGCTGGCCTCCTGGAGAGCTGTCTGCCTCTGGCTCCTCAGTGCTGGGATTAAAGGCGTGTGCCACCACAGCCCAGCATCCTCTGCTCTCTTGTAGTGAAACAGGTCAGCTTGTGGTCCTGTCCATCTGGATCCTCTGGCTATTTGCAGAGTGCTAACCTTCAATTTTTACACGGCCCGTTTCTTTCCTGTATCTCCCTACACTGTTTTGCCTTTGGGTTCCTGGCGTGGGTCTTTCAGGACCCCATCCTCCCAGGTGGATCCGGGCACCTTTCACCTCCTTTTCCTGCCTACGTTGGGCGTCGCCTGTAGTCTGAGAGCTTCCTTGCCAGATGGCATACCCACACCACATATTCTGGTAGAAATAACCAGTGCTATGGAGTCCCTGGGGTCAGGACTTTGGGGGCTGTGTAGTTCTTGACCTAGCTGAGGCAGCCCGTGAAAGCAGGCAGAGTCAGTCTGAGTGCTGTGGAATGTCCCTGGGGCGCACTGTCCTAGCGGCTGGGTGGCCTGGCCTTCTTAAGTTTTGTGTTTTCCTGTGTGCAGGTGAGGAACCCCTGGATACTTAATTGCAGGCCTGGAGAGATGGCTCAGTGGGTGCATGGTGCTTCCTAGTGGGTGCAGTTCTCAGCACCCTCTTGTTGGGACTCAGATCGTAATCCCAGATGCAGAGGAATGTGACCCTCCTGGCCTCTGCAGGCATCTGTAGTCATGCGCACACACCCACAGACACATGATTAAAGTTTAAAGAGAGGCCATTGTGAGGCCCTTCCTCAGGGGGGTTGCTGTAGGCTTTGGATGGAGGCCAAGGACAGTGAGCACAGGGTGACAGCTTTTCTCACGTGCAGGTTTTGGATACCTACATGTTCCACTCCTTTCTGAAGGCCCGGCTCAATGGCAGGATGGATGCCTTTGCTCGGATGGACCTCGACACCCAGTCAGAGGAGGACAGGTGCCTCCCTTTGTCCCATATACATGGCTTTCTGGGGACTGAGGGCTCCTGTGTCACAGTTCTATTTGGACACACAAATGATCAATTTGGCAAGATATCAAGCAATTCACTGCGAGTCTTCAAATATACAGCCTCCTCTGTGTGTCCCTGTTTTGCGGGGGTGGCTCTCATGTGCTGTGCCTGGCCTGGCATCCTGTACCTCACCCCGATTCTGGCCATCTTCACCTTCTTCGCATGCTCCCCATTCCAGACGCCTATCTTTCTTCCTGCCCTTTCCTGGTGATTGTCCTGATTTTGTGCACGCATCAGCTCTGTTCATCTCTGGGATTTCGGGTTCTCCAAGACCCTCTGTCCTTTTCCCTGGAGTTGTTTGAGGCTGGGCTTCAAGAGCGTCAGACAGATTCTCACTCTCTGCGTGGCTCTGTCGCCTTGCTCGCCACACTTTCCATCTGTGAGCCCATGAAGTGAACTTCTGCTTTTCCCTAGGAGAGACAGGATGCTTATAAGTCCGAGGAGACCTACCGTGGAGAAGATGGCCTCCAAGAAGGATTCGCCCCTGAACATCGCCCACAGGCGCATGGTGGTCAGCATGCCCAATCTACAGGACATCTCCTTGCCCGAGCTGCCACCCAGGAACTCGTCGCTTCGGATAATGGACACCTCAAGCTGTAAAATCGCCACTTCAGGCAAGGCTGTTACTACCCCTCCCCCTGCGTGTACTCCCAGCGCCGCAGCCGCAGCCCAGCCGCCAGATCAGATCATAGCTTGGTTCACAGGAGGGAATGTGCTTAAAATTTTAAACTGTTTTGGCCAGGTGTGGTGCGAATGCCTGTAACCCTGTCAACTTGGGAGGCTGGGGCAGGATTGGTGCTTGTGAGTTTGGGGCCAGCCCCCTGGGTTTCAGGCTACCCTGTGTGAGTGTGGTCATTGTGAGACTGAAATGCTGCCTCCACAAAATTGGAAAAAAAGAATGAACTATTATTTTAAAAGACTTTCGTGTCTATGCCCTCCTCCCCCGGGCCGTGTGTGTGTGCGTGCGTGGCGTGTGCGTTGTGCATATAGTACAAGTTTACATTTGTGGAGGTGTGATGGGATGCCCTAGGTTGGGTGCCAGTCCCTTCCTAAAGGGTGCAATTAGATATTTATACGCCATGTTGCATTTCTGTGTAAACTTCCCCAAGGCACACCCTGTTCCTCATTACATCATTTACTTGTACTCTGAGCCCCACTGAGTCCTTAACAGGTGGGTGAAACTGTTGGGAGCCAGGCCCTTGATGGCTGTTGCCCCTAGCCCAGGCTGTAGGTATCTCCAGGAAGCTGTGAGTCCCCAGAGAGTTTCTGACTGCCAGAGACTGCATGCAAATGAAAGTGTTCTCCGAGCTCAGAGCCTCTGGAGGTGTGAGCCCTTCTGCAGCTACGTCCTGGTTGTGTGACCCCCAAGCACATGCACATGCACGCAAGCACACACACACACACACACACACACACACACACACACACACACACACACACACGACCGACCCTTCCTGGGCCTGTAGTTCCTTCCCTGGGCTTGGCAGGTGTGTGTACACTCACTCTGGCACACAGTCTACCTTTTCCTGTGTTCATCTGGAGCTCTCCGGACCATCTCATGTTCCAGCCTCCATAGTGGAGGTACCACCTCCAGCATTGGTGTGCATGACCTGGCAGCTGGCTCTGGTTCCCTATCCCAAGGGGGCTCTCAGAAGAGGAGGACTTCAACTCCTGATCAGTGTTTAGTTCCCAGAGAGCTTCAGCTCATGCTTAGGAGGGAAATGTTTTAAATCCTGCCTGTGGCACTTAGGAGCTCTGTTCACCTCAGTCCTCACCTTCTGCATCTATGTGGTGGGAGCCCTGTGCCAACATTGCCCAGAGCTACTGTTAAGGTGACAAATGCTTCCAAAGGCTGACCCTGCTCGGCAGGTATAGCTTGGCTTAGGTTAGTAGCTTAACCTACAGAGCCCGGTCTCTGCATTTTCACTTAGTACTCATGGTTTTAAAAACATAATTGCCCCATAGAGAATAGTTATTGTTACCCTGGGAACAAAATGGGCTCTTCTTCACCCCTGGGGTATGGGGAATGTCTTAGAAGAGGCACATGGGTTCTTCTTGTCCAGAGTACACGGTGTCATACATGATGGGCACTAATTGCATGCATTTTCCCCTTGATTTTTTTTTTTCCTTTCAGCCCTCAAAGTGACCCCTAAGTCAACGTACACATTCAAGATCCCTGAGATCCACTTCCCGCTGATGAGCCAGTGTGTTCAGGCATACTACACAGATCTCACCACTCTCCTGAGCAAGGCTATGGGCCTGCTGGGCCCCGGTGACTCTCTGCTCCTCGCCAGGTACTTCTACCTGCGCGGCCTCATCCGTGCGATGCAGGGCCAGCTGCTAAGTGCCCTCTTGGATTTCCAGAACCTCTACAAGACTGACATAGGGATCTTCCCAGCCGACCTTGTTAAAAGCATGGTGGAATCCATGTCGGCCTCCGAATGGGCCCAAGCTGAGCGGACACCTGAGCTTAGGCGGCTCATCACAGAGGTCTTAGATAAGCCGGGCGAGACCCCCAAAGCAGATGATGCTGTGAAGAACTTTGAACTGCCCAAGAAGCACATGCAACTGAATGACTTTGTGAAGCGGGTCCAGGAGTCGGGGATCGTGAAGGATGTCGTCATCATCCAGCGCCTGTTTGACGCTCTGACTGTGGGTAAGAGGGCCGACCCCACAGTGGCCCTGGGTACTGACACCCTTTGGGTCTGCAGGCCTGTAGCCACAGTTTGCCCAAGTAAATATTAGAAGTATAAAAAAGCTGTCTCTGCACCGAACATAGACAAGCTTTTTTTTTTTTTTTTTTTTTCTTGTCACTCTTCCTGAAAGCCAGGGCTTCTAGAACTTGCACTTATAACCACTTTCACCTGGGAATCTTCCATGAGACCCACAGTGCAAAACAAACACTGATAATAACCATAAAGAAGTGCATTTAGACAAAAGCAGGACTGGGAGGAGGCTTGGCTGGCAGCCTACCTGCATAGCATGCTTGAAGCCCTGGCCCAGTGCCTAGAACAAACCAGCATGGTAGCTCATACCTGTAATCCTAGTATTAGAGAGGGATGATTCCAAGTCATCCTCGAGCTATATAATGAAAATTCCTCAAGTTCTTTATTTTTTTTTTTAATTTTTATTTTTTTTAAAGATTTATTTATTATATATACAGTGTTCTGCCTGTACACCAGAAGAGGGCATCAGATCATCAGATCTCATTATAGGTGGTTGAGAGCCACCATGTGGTTGCTGGGAATTGAACTCAGGACCTATGGAAGAGCAGTCAATGCTCCTAACCTCTGAGCTGCCTCTCTAGCCCCTCAAGTTCTTTATTTTTAAAAAAAAAAGAAAAGAAAGGAAGAAAAGAAAACAAATTTCCAAAGTAATGAGATGAAGGAACTTGTTACTTTTTACATAGAAAGGTGGGGTTGTTTTGTTTTGTTTTGTTTGAGACAGGGTTTTACTATATCGCTCTGGAACTCACTCTGTAGACCAGGCTGGCCTCAAACTCACAGAGATCCGCCTGCCTCTGTCTCGAAAGGGTTAAAGACGTGTGCCACCATGCCTGGCTGAGAATTAAGTCTTAAAGATGAGCACTGTGGCTCATGCCTGCAATCTTGGTACTTGGGAAAGTGAGGTAGGAGGAACTATGAGTTCAAGGCCAGCCTAGATAACATAGTGAGTTCTGGGTCAGCATGGGTTACAGAGTGAGACCCTGTCTTAAAAGAAAAAAAAAAAAAAGTTAAAGTTTGTAAAATCTTGGCTGAATATTTGATTCTGCAAATGTTTCTTAAAATTGATATTTGGTTTTGTCATCATCAATGCTTAGAATGCTGCTTTGCATACTTAATTTTTTTTGTTAAGTACTTAACAAAAAAAAAATGGTGGATGCATTTTTAGTTTAGTTTCAGAAATTATTTGAAATTCTATTCTAATCCCAAGCCAAGATTTACTTAATGGTTTTCTCTAAATGAAACTCAAATCAGCAACTCAAGCTTTAAAAGGCAATTTCTAAAGGTATGCTGATTTGCTATTTACATGAGAAGATATTAGAAGTCTCCGTTTTCTGTGATTAAATCAGTGTGTCTGTAAGACCAGAAAACCTTGTTTGTTAAAGGCGCCATCACTTGTAATATCCAGCAGCTTTGAGCCCGAGTCAGTCATGGTCACAGTGTTTTGGGCACCTTTTGCTGGTAGCATGTGCCATGGTGGCATGCACAACATGGAGTGCACACGTGTTCAGACCCAGAGCTGCAGGTGAAGTTGCATGCTATAGCATGGCTGAGTTCTACATGAGGCTGCCTGTCTCTGCAGGTGCATCTGCCCCAACGGCTGTGCATTAGCTTCACAGCTGTGGCTCAGCTGAGTAATTCACACACAGACACAGATACACATGCACAGAGACTGACATGTGCACACAGACATAGACACACGCACACACGCGCACACACACACACACACGCACACACACACACACGTGTGCCAGGTACCAGGGCATCCCACCTGAGAAGAAGGCCTTGCTACACTTTCCCACAAGGCTCTCGTTTCTTGGGTCTGGTTGTGTTCTGTGTCCCCAACCCAGGCTCTGCTTTCTGCTCTGCTCAAAATCCTTGATGACAGTATGTCTTACACTCATGGACTGTGTCCTGCCACCTGTGGAAGTCTGAGATCCATGCTCCCTGCACTGACATGAGCATTTGCTCTCTGTCTGGTGGCCATGTGGGAGGAAGTGCTGCCCAGCTGCTGTCCTCAGCCATCTGCCCCTTGCTGGCTCCTTTCCTTGAGCCGTAATCTCCGCCTCTGCCTGAGTTTTATGTTGGGTCAGCCCTCTGCCTACTGATGACTTGTGAGTGGGTCCCATGTGCTCTGGACATCTTCTCCTTGCCAGGGTGGGCACACCAGGTGCGCCCTGGCTGTGCTGTGAGCCCCGCAGAGCACATGTGGGCTGGCCATGGACTGCTGCAGGAAGGACCTGTGTGCATGTCCTACCTGCTGAGACTCTGGAGGTTTGCTGTGAGGGGCTGTTCCCTGTGTTAGGAGGCTGTGAGGGGCTGTTCCGTGTGTTAGGAGGCTGTGAGGGGCTGTTCCCTGTGTTAGGAGGCTGTGAGGGGCTGTTCCCTGTGTTAGGGAGGCTGTGAGGGGCTGTTCCCTGTGTTAGGAGGCTGTGAGGGGCTGTTCCCTGTGTTAGGAGGCTGTGAAGGGCTGTTCCTGTGTTATGGAGGCTGTGAGGGGCTGTTCCCTATGTTAGGAGGCTGTGAGGGGCTGTTCCCTGTGTTAGGAGGCTGTGAGGGGCTGTTCCCTGTGTTAGGGAGGCTGTGAGGGGCTGTTCCCTATGTTAGGAGGCTGTGAGGGGCTGTCCCTGTGTTAGGGAGGCTGAGGGGCCCGTTCCCTGTGTTAGGGAGGCTGTGAGGGGCATTTTGCCCGGGTGTTGAGGAATGAGGTGGGATTTTCTGGTGTGGTGGTTAGGATGAGTCTGCATGCAGGCACATAACCATGTGGCCTGCTTCGCAGGGAGGCTGTGCTTCGCAGGGCCAGAGTGTGGGGTGTGAAAGGGAGCAGGGGGCAGTCTGGGGGAACTTGAGGTCTGGTATGGTTGAACAGTCTGGAAAGGTTTGGGTGAGGAGCTTGTGCTTCAGGAAAGCAATTGTGGAGGCCGAGGCAAGCAGCCCAGTAGTGGGGTGGTGACAGCCGCTGTGTGTGGCTCGTGTAGAAGGGAGGCCCAGGGACATTACAGGACACAGAGCAGCAGGTGGGCGCCAGCACGTGGAGAGGGAGGAGCTAGAGCCGACAGGCCTTAGAAGCTGAGTGAGGACGAGGGAGGGCTGTATCCCAGAAGAAAGCTCTTTAAAAGCCAGGTGTAGTGGATCATGCTGTGAATCCCAGTGTGGGAGACTAAGTCAGCAGGAGTTCCAGGCCAGCCTCAAAAACAGTACAACTTTGTCTCCAAAAAAGGAAAAAAAATGTGTCCTTGTGGCAGTTAGTGTGACTACCTGTGATAGGTCAGATGACCATTCCTCTGTGGGCTAGAAGGGGCAGATGGCCTCTACCTAAATCTTCTGCCCTACAAACTGGGGCAGGCAAAGGCTCTCAGCTAAACTGTCCATACAGAGCCCTCGGCACTGGTGCCACCTGCTGCCTAACTTGGGTAGTGCATGCTTCCTTAAAGGCCCTTGTACGGGAGGCCTGATGAAATTTCTCTCCTTACACCCAGGACACGAGAAACAGATCGACCCCGAAACATTCAGAGATTTCTACACTTGCTGGAAGGAGACAGAAGCAGAGGCACAAGAGGTGAGCCTGCCTGCACTGCTGATGGACCATCTGGATAAGAATGAGTGTGTGTACAAACTGTCAAGCTCCGTGAAGACCAACCGTGGAGTCGGCAAGATTGCCATGACCCAGAAACGTCTGTTCCTGCTCCCTGAGGGGCGGCCGGGCTATGTGGAGATCGCCACCTTCAGGAACATAGAGGTGAGGCTTTCCTGGTGCCAGATGCAGAGCGTAACCATCCCCTAGGCTGCCTGCCCTCTGGCACCTTGGGAGTTATGTGCCTCCCTGTACCCACCCTTCAGGTAAGGGTGGTGTGGCGCCCCCGGGGCTGTGTGTGGGGGCATGTGAGGGGCAGCACCCCTCACCTGATTCCTCTGTAGTAACAATGTACGGAGGTGCAAGGTAGGGCTGGCTGTGGCTTTATCACCAGAAATGTGAGGACAGGAATGAATTCACCTAAGCGACAGCTAAATGCTGACCACTGAGCCACCATGTCCCATGTGTCTACTTGTGTTTCTGAGCACATGCTATTTAGTGTTTGTTTTCATATTATATTTGTTTTTTGAGACAGGGTCTTATTATGTAGCCCAGGACGGCTTTGAACTTGAAATCTTCCTGCCTCAGCTTCCCGAACGTTGGGATTATAGAGGCATGAACTACTACATACCATGCCACATTTTATTTTACTTTGTTTTTAAGATTTATTTATTAAATATACAGTGTTCTGCCTGCTGGGAATTGAATGCCTCTTGAAGAGCAGCCAGTGTTTTTAACCTCTAAGCCGCTCTGCGGCCCAGCTGGCTTTATTTATTTATTTATTTATTTATTTATTTATTTATTTATCGAGACAGAGTCTCTCTTTGGAATCTTGGATGTCCTGGAACTATGCGGTGCTCCCAGAGAGCCCCCTATTCTGCTTTGGAGTGTTGGGATTAGAGGCATATGCGCCCGTGCCCAGGATGTGAGGAGCTCTTGAGTCAGGTGTACTGGTGTGTGTCGTTAATCCCAGCACGCATGACTCAGGCAGGAATTCTGCAAGTTCCAGGCCAGTGTGGGCAGCAGTGAAAGACCCTGCCTTAAAAGAAGAAAGAGAGCTGGGTGGTGGTGCACGCCTCTAATCCCAGCACTCTGGAGGCAGAGGCAGGTAGATTGCTGAGTTCAAAGCCAGCCTGGTCTACACAGTGAGTTCCAGGACAGCCAGGGCCTCCCTGAGAAACCCTGCTTCAAAAAACCAAACCAAACCAACAACAAAAACAAGCGAAGAAGCAGGTCTAAATTGGGACCCTGAGGATGTTATTTTGCGCCTTACATTTAGAATTACTGTCCCAAACTTAAGGTCTAGGAGAGGTGAGTTGGGGGTGTCATGTGTTCTCAACTACTGAGAGGTCACAGCAGGAAGAAGGCCAGCAGCTGTGGTCCCTGCATGCTTTGCTGGCTCACGTGCCCCACATGTGGTCACACCTACCCTCCACAGTGCCTGCGGGCCACCAGCCGAGTCTTCCCTGCCTCTACATGTCCTCCTCCCCCCGCCCCCCCCCCCCCGCAGGAAGTTAGAAACACCACAGTGGCGTTTCTCCTCCTGAAGATACCCACCTTAAAGATCAAGACGGTGGCCAGGAAGGAAGTCTTTGAGGCCAACCTGAAGTCTGAATGTGACCTCTGGCACCTGATGGTGAAGGAGATGTGGGCCGGGAAGAAGCTGGCGGATGAGCACAAGGTCTGAGGTGGGGGTGGTCCTGTGGGCACGGGTGGCTGCAGGTCCTGAAGGGGGCATCCAGAGCTTGCAGCTCAGACCTGGCACCAGTGGGCAGGGCTGCTGTGGCCCTGTGACCCCACCTGAGGCCATGGGGTCAGTGTGTGGGGGAGCACATGAAGGTTTTCCCTTGTGCACCCTCCTAGTGAATGGTGGGCAGGGTTGGGGGAGGCGTTCATATCATCTCAATGGCAAGCCAGGTATGGTAGCATGTACATGTGATCCCAGTGCTCAAGAGGCTAAGCTAAGAAGGTCTGGAGTTCAAGGCCGGCCTGGTCTACAGGGCAAGATCATGTCTCAATCACATAACCAAACTAAAACAGTGGACCAGAGCCATGATCAGGACTCACACAGAGGGGTTGGTCATAAGGGTATATGGAGATCTGTAGCCTCACCAGTCACCAGAGAAATACCTTAGAGGCAACAGGCTGGCTGGTGGCAGGGGGTGGGAACCACCACTTGTGATGGGCTATTCCCTGTTGGGAGTGGACTCCATTCGCTCTTAAGATTTTGTATTCCATGATCTCTGGCCTTAGCCATTCACTTCTACACCCACTGCGCCGTGCAGATTAGCGGGACGGTCCCCAAGCCTGTCACTGGGGACAGTCTCAGCGTTGCTGTGGTTGGAGCAGGGGAGAGGAGTCACAAATTCCTCAGAGAAGGAAATGTGGATCCAGAAGTCAATCATCAGAGCTCATCATAACTCAGAGCTAACGGTTACGGGACAGGAACTCCTCAGCCACTCACTCTCCTCTGAGAAGTGCTGTTTTCCTCAGTGAGGCACAATCAAGGCACTCAGGGTTTGGACTGGGTTGACACACCTGCCTCTGTCCTAGGACCCGCAGTACGTCCAGCAAGCGCTGACCAATGTCCTGCTTATGGATGCCGTGGTTGGCACCCTGCAGTCACCTAATGCCATCTACGCGGCCTCCAAGCTGGCCTACTTTGACAAGATGAGGAATGAAAGTGAGTTCTGTGCGAGGCCATGCCTGCCCATCATAAGCATCCCCCCTGAGCTTTTCTTCTGGTTGGCCTGCCCCAGTCAGAACCCACCCAGCTTTCTTGTTCTCCTATGTTTATGGAATCTTTTTTTTGGGGGGGGTAGGGTCTTGCTGTGTAGCCCACCAGAACTCAACTCAAAAACTCATAATCCTCTTGCCGTCTCCTAAGTACTGAGATTACACACCTGGCTGTAATTAGCTGTTTAATTTGGTGTGTGCGCGCATGCGCGCGCGTGTGTGCATGAGTGCCTGTGTGTGTGTTCTGAGAGAGAGAGAGAGAGAGAGAGAGAAAGGGAGGGAGGGAGGGAGGAGAGGTGGGTACATATGCCATGTCATGTCTGGAGATCAGGACAACTTGCTGGGATCAGTTCCCTCTTACAATGTTGGTCTCAGATTATCAAGTTTGGGGGTGAAATGCCTAAACACTGAGCAATCTCACTGGCCCTAACTTGTTTTGAGTATCACTATTATTCTGTTTGGTTTCTTTCTTTTCTTTTCTTTTTTTTTTTCTTCTGTTTGAGACAGGGAGTGTTCTAGGATAGGCTACCCTGGAACTCAGTATATAGTGCATGCTGGCCTTGAACTCACAGTTCTGCCCGCCCCAGTGAGTGTTAGGATTATAAGTGCTTTTAGGATTTTTTTTTTTTTTTAAATATTACACAATGGCTTTCGTCTTCATTGAACCTTGGGTCTTGTGGCTCCTCCTCGTCACAGCGTATGGCTCCTCTTTTCTGTTCTGGGTGGTGTCCATCTTACAGTGTACACTGCATGTCCTGACTAACTACAGAATATTCTGTCTGGTTCAGCAGACTAGAAATGTTGGCAGGCCATTGAGTAACTAACAGTCGTTCTGGTCAATGTTGAGGATGCGTCAGAACCACGGCTACTGGATATCCACGGCCTGTCTGCACGTGGGTAGCCTGTTGACCGATGGATTGGGCACCACATGAGACAAAAGTGGCCCCAAATAGCGTATTTGTTTCTCTTCCTTTTCCCTCCTCCTTTCTTTGAGACTGTCTCGTGTAGCTCAGACTAGTCTTGAACGGTCTCCACCTGACTTTAACTCTGATCCCTCTGCCTCCTCCTCCTAAGTGCCAGCATAACAGGAGTGTGCCCCGGTGCCCAGCATCTCTTTATCTTTAATTTGGCCAGTTTCCCGGGACAGAAATTTCCAGCCTCCTTCCTGCCCGTTTGTTTGGCTCTCACATTCTGAAGCCGTACAGAGGCCACTATTTCAGGTCTAGGGCCAGTGGGGTAAGGAGATGTCCCGTGCCTATTCAGCTTCTGCTTTGTTTCCGTTTTAAACGTCTTCCTGCACTTCCTCATACTGGAAGTAGGGAACAGAATGAGGCCACAGAGAATGTGTGGAGTTAAAACAATAGGAAGTTCACTTTGGAACACAGGTTGGTGAAGTCGAACCCTGCAAACGCCATGCAGGCCCCGTTGGTACTGAGATGCCCCTCTCACGCTGGGCCTGTTAACATGTGGCTTATTCGCAGAGCTGTGCCACCCTTCCTGTGAGGGCTCTGAGACACTCACTCTGCAAGAGGGATTCCCACACCTGCTTAGTGTCACCCGTGTTCTTGGCCACTCGTTCACTATGCCTGTGACCTCGTCTGTCCTGGGTGTTTCCCATACTCGGGCTCCCTCCTGGCTCCATCTTTTCACCCCGGGCAGCGTTTCCTCAGTTCCTTTATGAGCTGGCTTGTGCTGGCATTTCACGCCTTTAAGGGAGTTGTGCTCTGCATGCCGTGTGTGGTGCGCACATCTATCTGTGAGGGTGCGTGTACACGTGTTGTGCATGCCATGGCGTGCGTGTGCTGGTTGGAGGACAACCTCAGGTATCAGTCTTCACCTTCCACCTTGCTTCAGATGCGGCCCTCCGTTTTTGTTATTTATGGCTGTGTACATTGGGCTAGCTTCTGGGGAGGAGGGTCTCCTGTCTTTGCCCTGTGTCTGGCTGTAGGAATACTGGGATTGCAGAAGCACGCCCTTGTGCCCAGCTTTCCACAGCTTCTCATTCTTGTACAGCAAGCACAAACCCACTGAGCTGTCTCCCAGTCCTTCATTTCTTTAATGGCTACCACACTGTGTTGGCAGTACATTTTCTATGCCCCTTCTTCTGTAGTGGACCTTGAAGTTGGAGCCACCTTTGTCTGTGGACTTTGACTGCTGTGAATGTCTGTGTAGGTTCCTGTCATCTCTCCTGGGTATGCAGTCAGGTTATAAAAACAGCTGTCCAAGAGTTAGGAAGCACGCCAAGCTGTGTGCTTTTACTCACTTCAGCAAAGCTTTATCTTCCCCTTTGTAACAGCTGTCACTGACTGTGTGGCCCTGACACTTTCTGGTCATAGAACCCAGCCAGGAGGCTCAGTTGCCCCATGTTGCCTGGAGACCCACTGAGCCCTCCAGGAGCTCTGTCGGACAGTCCTGGGTCTCAACAGAAACTGCTCTTTTCCTCATCTGGGAATAAAATCAAATAAACACTGCCCTTCAGCTGTTTACAGGACTCTAAACGAGGGCCTTCTCATCGCCACAAGTTTATGGAACAGCATTCTAGATCCTCTGTAAACAGTTTACAGAGCTGCCATGGTAACACCCAGCACATGCTCTGTCACCATCACCTTGTCCCCTGTGGCACAGGAGGCGCCATCTGAGCTCAGGTCACAGCATGCCGAGCTCCTAATGCTGGTTTAAGAAATCCAGAAATACCTTCTAGTGCGTGGCTTACTAAAGTCAAGCCACGAGACGTGAGATCCCAAGCTTGACTCAGACGCACTGAGTCTACTTGTGTTGGAAGGTCTCAAAAATACACAAAACAAGAGGAGAAAGCCGGGCAGCAGGTGGAGGGGCAGAGGCTCCCGTCATCACTTCATGCACTGCGGGAGCTCAGGACTCTTACTTGTTTCTTTTGAAAAGTGAGGCCAACAGCAGTCTCATCCGATGTGAGGCGTGATGGGGGTGGAGTGGGAGAAGCCCCAGCAAGTCCTTAAGGCGTGGTCTTCACTGCAGTGCAGGCGGTCCATGGGGGTGGGAGGCCAGGGGGCAACCCAAGGAGTTAGTGGGAGAGCCCCTCAACATGGCAGGTGGTCCCAGGAACCCCCAGGGAAGGTGGCTTTTGCTTCGCTTAGAAACACAAGTTGGACGTGCAGAAAGATGCAAGGACCACCATGCTTCTCCTGGTACCATCAGCAGAGTCTTAGTCATGGGCCTGGGCAGAAGAAAGTGTGACCCAGGGCTGGAAACATGGCTCAGTCCCTGGGATCCACATGGAGAGAAGTGACTCACATTAGCTGTCCTCTGTTCTGTGGTACACATAAAGTGTTTAAAAATACTAAAAGAATGTGTCATATACACAATGACATACTGTTCAACCAGGAAAAATATTGCCTTCTTGGCCCTGCTCCCCATCAGGGATGAGGGCAGAGGGCGCCTTGGACAGTACTATCCCTAATGCTAGTTTCTAAAAGCACCCCCTTCATGCCACGTGTGGTGTGTGTGTGTGTGTGTGTGTGTGTGTGTGTGTGCGTGCGTGCTCATTTTTTCTTTTGTGGTTTGTTTGTTTGGTTTTTTGGTTTTTCAAGATGGGGTTTCTCTGTATGGCTTTGGAGCCTGTCTTGGAACTCTGTAGATAGACCAGGTTGGCCTCAAACTCACGGAGATCCACCTGCCTCTGCCTCCCAAGTGCAGGGATTAAAGGTGTGCGCACCAACGCCCGGCTGGTGTGTGTTGTAACCATAAATTCCTAATAGGAGAGCTGTGTGAGTTGGATGCCACTGCTGTTATGCTCTGGTAACCGAACTCATGTGCTTGTGTTTAGCGCCCATGGCAGTCCCAAAGACAACCTCAGAGACTCTGAAACACAAGATTAACCCTTCGGCAGGAGAGACTGCTCCCCAAGCTGTTGATGTCTTGCTGTATACGCCAGGTAAGGCGACCTCTCACTGCTTTTGGCTGTGATGAGCTTAGGTTTGGGTTGGAGGCCAAATGGTAGCAGTGCAGGGAAAGCCCCCCCCCCACAATGGAAACAGGGAGGGTGTCTTCTGTGTGTAGGACAGAATCCTGAGCCACAAGGGCAAAGGTGGCAAGGCCACTCTGCTCACTTGGGCTTGTGGCACCCTATACGTGGGCAACAGCTTTTCTGGGGACCCAGAGTACTCACCCCCTGCCTTCTGCCGTGTGTGTGACATTTTAGGTATTGTCAGGTGTGTCAGTTCTTTGGTTGAGGAGGCTGCTACTGGCAAATCATTGTGTGACCGGGGGTAGTGAGGAAGCCTCGCTGGAACCCTTCCTACTTCAATCAGGCACCACACCAGCTCTGAGGGGATAATGAGAACAGTACTTACAGGACTCCCACAGCAGCACACCCAACAGCATGGGCATGACTGGCAAACCCCAAATCCCTAAGCACTGAAGGACTCATGGGTTTCACTGCATTAAGGGTTTCTGGGCTGGTGAGGTAGCTCAGTGGGTAAGGGTCCTTGCTTGGTAATAATCCTGACGATCTGAGTTTGAACCCTGGAACCCACATAGTGGAAGGAGAGACTGACTCCCCAAAGTTGTCCTCTGATACCCATTTCTATGCATGCATGCATGTATGCAAACACACACACACACACACACACACACACACACACACACACACACACAAATAATAGTTTTTTTTCCCATGAAGTTACAATCCGAGGAGGATTTCAGCGACTGTGTAACATGTGATCCTCTGTCCAGCTTGGTCCTACAGCCCTTGAGCCCCAATAAACAAACAAAGACATATTATTTATGAAAGTGTTGGCTGGTGACGAGGGCTTCTTATTGGCTAGTGCTGTCTTAATTACTAACCCATTTATATTGATCTAAGTATTTCCATGTGGTCTCGTGTTACCGGAGAAGGGTCCGGATCCCTAACTCCTCCTTCCATCCACTACATGGTGACTGCTAAGCGTCTCTGTATAGGGTGATTTCCTGTTTGTCCCTGCTTATATTCTGTTTCTGCCCAGCTATGTCACTTCCTGTCTGACCAATCAGCCAATCATTAACCAATAAGAGAAACGTATATACAGAAAGACTTCCCCTGTCAGGACTGGGCTGGCAAGTATGTTCCTAGCATGACGACATCATTAGGGGCTCCCATCCAGCCACCCGGAGCTAGACATTCCAGTATTGCCAAGAGACACATTCCTCATGAAAGAGGCCACTGCGGAGCTGACACCGTTGGCCTCATGACCAGTTAGGAGAATGCCAGTAGAGCCATTCTCAAAACCAGAGTCATGGTGACGCCGGCCTGTACTCCTAGCTGCACGAGAAGCTGAGATAGGACGACACTAGCCTGGGAAACGCACCAAGACCTCATCTCTGCAAGCAAAGAAAAATATCCTTCAGAGAGCTCAAACTAATTAAAATACATACCAGGCTGGATGGGCTGAGGCAGGGGGATAATCACAAGTTCAAAGCCAACATGAGCTACACGAGACCCCATCTTAAAATACCGTCAGTAAATAAACTGACACCAACCGCTGCACGAGGGTGACACCCTGGAGCAAAGTGGCTGTGCTCCGTGAGCTTTGGGTAGGTGTGGAAACCGGTGGGGGCACCACATGTTGGTTTCTCCCGTTGGCCGTCTTCCTCTCATGCCTACGGCTCACGAGCCATACTGCCTGCGTCCCAACTCCACACAGTCCCGGGTGTCCCTTCTAAGAGCTCACGAGACCTAGACTCCCCAGGGAGGGTGGGGGTCTGTCATCTCCAAACGCCTGCTCTCTTCACTGCACTGGTGTGTCTGTGGGTGTCTGGAAGATAGCTGGGGTAGGAGGCAGCCCCCCCCCCCAACTGATCGGACAGACTTAAAGCTTTGGGGCTTCTTTGCTCTTTAGGGCGCCTTGACCCTGCAGAGAAGGTTGAAGATGCACACCCCAAGTTGTGGTGCGCCCTGAGTGAAGGCAAAGTGGTGGTGTTTGATGCTTCCTCCTGGACCGTCCACCAGCACCGCTTTAAAGTGGGTGCCGCTAAAGTGGTGAGTCCGGCACCTTTAACCCAGTGCAGCGTTCAGAGAGACTCAACAGACAGCCCGTGCCCAGCAGCACTGAGTCCTGACTTTGAGAAGCTAGAGCCCCTGAGAACATGCCATCTGCAGAGGCCTCGGTGGCTTGATTGGCCATTCCTACCATCCGTATTCATCACTGCAAATGTAGCCATCTGCTAAAACGTGTCTTTACCCCCAAATCAATGCTCATGGTGCCTCTGTGGCGCTCCAGACCCAGTGGGAATGCCAGGGCCAGTGTGTGTGTCCCTGCTGCTCCTCACAGCTGACACTGTGGGCCACCATCCTTCCCTGCTTATTCCCTGCCATGGTTTATTCCTCTGTGCTCTCGATAGGGCACCTTTACATGGGGACCCATATGACTTGCAAGCCCCCCGCCCCCCCCCCCCCCCCCCCCGCAGGATCAGCGCTTCATACTTGCTGACTTGGGGCTGTTGCTAACTGGACAGACAGACTGGACCTGGTCTGCACACTCACCCTTCCTTCTTGGTCCCTTTAGAACTGTATGGTGATGGCAGAGCACAGCCAGGTGTGGGTGGGCTCCGAGGACTCTGTCATCTACATCATCAATGTCCACAGCATGTCCTGCAACAAACAGCTCACGGATCACCGTGCTGCGGTCACTGGCTTGGTGGTGCAGAATGGAAAAAAGCCCAGGTACCGGGGCCCAATGGGGTAGGAGAGAGACAAGCCTGGCTCCCAGGGGTGTGGAAGATAAGGGGTCCCCGGGCCTCCTGGGCCTGGCCAGGCAAGAAATATCTGGAAGGAGAGTAGGCAGAAGACGTGTGTGGTGTGGTTCTGCACGTGGGTAAAAAAAGAGGAGTCTCTTGAGACCACAAAAGCAGCATGGTGACCATTGGCTCTTGGCCTTACAGTCAAGAGTACTTAGACCAGCCCATGCTTTTGGCAAAAACTGGAAAGGGCTCACCCCTCTGAAGTGCATGCTTGGCTGGTTTTCTCATTTTTCCAGACATCAGAAGTTTGGCTTTGTATGAGAGAGCACCTAAGTTCTTGATGTTGACTAGCTCTAAAATGCCACTGTGTGGCATCCCTTCCTCAAGCCCCCAGAGTCACTAGCAGGCCATCTGTCTGTCTACAGGCTGATGGGGACACTTTCCCCTGCTGAGTCTGTAAGCTAGTGCTGTGAGTGTCCTGGGGTGGGTCTGGAGCCCTGGCTGTCTTCATTTTCAAACCCATCCAGCTTGCTTCAGGGGCTTCCCCCTGCCTGCCAAAGGTGTGCATGGCAGGCAGCTCTGGATGCTGGCTCCGCTGGGGGGTGAATAGGCAAGAGTCACCCTGCCACATGTGGACCTCACCTCACCCATGTGTTCCTGCCTCTATGACCCCCAATTCTATGGCCAAGTCATCATGGGAGAGATTTTACCCATAAAACTCAAAGGATCCTGGTCAGTGTGAGTGTACAGGGAGGGCATAGGGTGCTGCCCAGGACACGGATGGGGACTGGGGTATGGCCTTCAGGCTGAGGCTTCCCTCCCTCATCTACTCTCTCTACAATGGAGCCAGCATCAGAAAGCAGGTTTGGGAAAGCCATGCAGGTCACCCACTCCAAGGCCACCTACTTCCTGGCTTGCTTGTCCATGTCACATCCTGATGGACACCCCCCCTCCGCCCCCGCATACTGGTCTCCTAAAGCCACCTTGATGGAAAGCCACAGCAGTAGGGTAGGACGCCTTCTCTGGTCTCCCCAGATACGAAGGTTGCCTTGGTGTCTCCTGGCCGGTACATACGTTATTCGCACCTCATCTTACCACAGCCTTCCACAGTGTGTGGCCATCTCTGGGCTCACACTTCCCATCTGTAAAGGCATCAATGCTATTGGACCAGGACCTACTGTAATGACGGTGTGTCGGCTTGGCTCTGTCTGCAGAGACCCCGTGTCTAAGTCAGGCCAGATTCCGAGGTGCTGGGTGCGAGGGTTCCACTGTGTCGTTTTTCAGGGACACAGTGCAAGCCATGGTAGCAGCTTATGTCACACCGTCTTTACTTCAAGAACACCAACATCCAAGTGAGCCAGCCGTTTTCCCCACCGTGGCCTGCAGTGAGGTCAGGCCTGACAGAGCGATCCCCAGGGAAGACTCAAGAGCGAGGCGGGGTCTTCTTGCTCTGTGGGGCAGCCCCAGTTCTGGCAATGTCTGCCTATGCTGGTCCCTGAAACAGTGGCAGAGGTGCTTCTCTTCCCCCAGGCTGGACGTTTAGTGCTTCCCTGATACTGTCAGGAGCTGGGAAAGTGCAGGAGCCTTGGGTAGTACTGGCCATTGCCCACCCCAACTCGCTACCGTGGAAGAGCACCCGTGGGTGCTGGTGAGCCTGCCCTCCCTGGTCCCTCTGAGCTGGACAGCTCTGCTTGGGGCTTGGTGCAGGTAAAGGTGACACCAGGACTGTTCTCTGATAACCCTGTTCTATTGCTGGTGTGTCTCATTTACTTACCGCTATCTCCGTCCCTCAGTGAGGTCTACTCCTGTAGCCTGGATGGGACGGTCCTGGCATGGAATGTCAGCACACTGCGAGTGACCAGCCGGTTCCAGCTGCCATGTGGTGACCTCATGTCCATCAGCCTGCACAGTGACCGCCTGTGGTGTTGTGAGTGTTCACGCCACCGGCCAGTGAGCCTGGCGCCCTGATCCTTTCCTTTCATTGTGTGTATCTCCAGCTTTAAGTAGTTCCTCCTGTCCCAGCAACCACGCTGCCCCGGTAGCTTGGCTTGCTACTCTCCAGGCTTCCTCTCCGTTCCCCGACAGGCTGGTGGATAGCTGCCATCCTGTTACATGCCTGCCACTCCCCAGCTCCTTTTTGGTTACCTGCTCTGGGGGAGGGGGGAGAGGCGGGGGCAAGCCTGGCCCAGTGACCCTGGGTTGCCCTGTGCATCCTCTTCTGGGGGTTCTGAGTGAGTGCCACACCTGCCTCTGAGGGGAAGCCTGGCCAGGCTGTGCTAGGGCCGTCTTTATCATTCCTAGCCCTTCCCTGGGACCCCAGTGTCTAGAGCTGAGTTAGTCTGCCAAGGGGTAATGGGAGGGGCAGATTCTAGGCTGGTGGCCCATGTTCTAGGATGTTTCAGAACATCCTGGGGTGCAGGAGTTGTCTGTAGTGTGGGGCCTACCCGCAAGCAGGTATGAGGCTCTTTGATGCTGTCAGCAATGCGCTTGGGCCTGCGTGCACACAGGTCTGCATGCTCTTCCTCGCCCTCTCTTCCTCCTCTGTTTCCGTCTCTGTCTGCTTCCCCAGGGTCCCATGCAGACAACACTGTTTCTCATCTTAAACTTGTGATCTCTCTGCCTCCAACTCCAGTGCTGGGATCACAGAGTGTCACCACACCCAGACTGCTGGCCTGCTCTCTTGTCCCTCGTCACCTGCCTACTGCTGTCCTTGCTGAGTATTTTAATTCAGCTCCACCTTCTCTCCTCTCTTTTCAGCTTCCCTTTCCGCTTCCCTATTGCGTGGGTGCTCTTAGGGGTGGTGCCGCGTGGCCTCACATCACGGGGCGGTCAGCAGTCCTTCAAAATTAAGAAAACTTACTTTGCCAGGACTCCTATCATTCCTGGTGAGTCCTGCCACCCAGGCTTCTCTCTGCTTGCTGTGCTCCAGAGTATCTCCCAGGCCTGGGCTTGGGCTCCTGATCACTATGAAGTGACGATGAGGGAATGGGAGGTCCCCGTCTGTGTTAGAGCATCTCACGGGAACTGTGAATCAGGTCATGGCAGACCCCGGCTGCGAGTCCTAGGTAGCGGGGCCCCTGCATCTCTTGGGTGTTCCCTCTTCCTCCTCGTCTCTGCCCATCCATCCTCCTGCTTCTTCCTCCCACAGGTACAGGCCACAACCTCGTGGTGGTGACAATGCAGGGTTTTCATCGTCATGAGCTGAAGATCAACGACTCCAACAAGGCACCCATCTCCTTCCTGGCCTTTCAACTTCTGCCTGAGGTACTCCGGGCTTGTGTGCTGAAGTCCAGGCCTGGGCTGTCTTGGTCACAGTGCCATTGTCCCACGGTAATTTCTATCCCAGAAGGAGCAGCTGTGGGCGGCTTGTGCAGGGTGCAGTGACCTGTATGTCTGGAGCCTGAGGGACCTGGGCCAGCCTCCTCGGAAGACCCACTTGCAAGACTGCACTGAGATTAGCTGCATGATCCGCGTGAAGAGGCAGGTGAGGTCAAAGTGTCTAGCTGCCTGAGAACGTCCCCTCAGGCTCCTCTGGCCTTGTCCCTATTGCTCTGTCTCCTCTTCCAACCCCCCCCCCACTTACTGGACACAAGTGGAATACAAGGTGGGTTCTGATGCAGACTGCCATATCTCCCAGGCTTCTCAGTGCTTAGTCGGGACCGGCAGCTTTACTCCCCGCCAGAGCTGGAGGCCGAGGCAGTGGACACCCGCCTTCTGCCCAGCTCCCTGTGCTTGCTCACCCTGGCTTGTGGATATACCTCTCCCATCTGACTTAGTCCTCCTGTGGCATCTGTGTGTCTCCTAAGGGCCCAGCCCACCGAAGCCTGGCCACATCTCACCCAGGTCTCTATTTCCAAACCACCTCCGATTCTCAAAGGACATGAGTTTATGGGAGACACTACTCCACTCAGTAAAGTACAGCCACACCGTCCACAACCCCAGGGTTCCAGCTCACTCTGTCCCTGACTCAAAAGGGCCCAGGCCTCACCTGAGTAGATGGACTCGGGTCCTAGCCAGTCCTCCACCACTGCAGCGAAGGCCTGAAGCAAAGAGCTTGGGAAGGTTTCTGTGGCTGTCTTGCAGTTTCTAGTTCATGGCCAGCAGACCCAGAGGAACACTGGGTGAGTGCTTGTGGGAGAAGGCTGCTCAGGTCCTGGCCAGGAAGCAAACAGCAAGAAAGTTCTGGAATCCTAAAAGTCCCTTTTAGGGCACCTTCACTGACCACAAACCTCCAACAAAGCCCCACCTCCTGCAGGGTTTAGCATGCTCCAGGAGAGCCAAGCTGGGGTACTGGAGAAGGCTCATTCCCAACTGTAGGGTTGAGGCTGTGAATGTGGCCACCCTGCAGCCCCCCCTTTCCTCTGTAAGATACAGTAGCGGGACAGACCAAGAGTAGACAGACCTGTCCCCAAAGGCAGAAATTGTAATGAAAAAGAGGTGACAGGTCCAAGCCCTGCCTAACATATGGCAAGGAAATTATACGGGTGTGGTCCCGTTTTACGGAAGCTTGACTGGTGAGTCACTGTTCTCCAGTGCATGACCTCAATGTGACCTCACATACTCACCCCTCACAATTATAACTGAGGTTGACTTCAGCAGATCTCAAGTCCGGGAGACGGTGTTGGCTATGGCCGCACTGTCCCCTGGGCTTCCAGGCCTGAGGTGAGGCCTCCATGGCCTGAAGGTCTAGGCCCACAGGTAGCCCGGTCCCTGGGCTGGCGCGAAGGACATGAGTTTGGGGGTGCATTTGTCCCAGAGCGCTCAGCTTCAAGGAGTCTCCCTGCTTTTTCCTACAGATCTGGGTGGGTGGCAGGGGGCTGTCGCAGGGGAAACTGAGAGGGAAAATCTTTGTGATGGACGCGGAGAAGATGGCGGTGGAAAAGGAGCTGGTGGCACACTCAGACACTGTGAAGACTCTGTGCTCTGCTGAGGACCGCTACGTGCTGAGTGGAGCCGGCCACGAGGAGGGCAAGATCGCCATCTGGAAAGTCGAGTGAAAGCTGCGTACCGAACCAGTCCTTCCTCATGAGAGGATGCCTCTCACCGCACGGCTGTGTCAGCGGCCAGGGCCTGTCACCTGCTCCCAAGAGTCTTCACCTCCAACTGCTCTATCTATCTTATTGCTGATAACCTCCACTGTGAAGGTACCCTGTCCTATTACCTAGAAACTTCCGGAATCCACAACCGGGAGCCAGCATCAAGGCTGCCATTTAGCTGTGTCACACGGGACCTGTAGTCTTCTTCATGCGCTCTCCGTTTGTTTACTCTGCAAACACCTGGGCTTCAGTGGCATGGCAATGGCTGGCATGTGGTGGTCATCCACAGAGCCTTGCAGGTTTCCATTGACTTCCTGCTTCCAGAAAGGCTTCTGAGTATTTGAGGGTAAACACTGACAGAACCGGCTGGCACTGGCCAGGCTGTCCTCCTCTTGAGCAGGTGACCGAGGCCTGCCCCAGGGAGGGGACAGTGCTGCTCAGATTTATCTGCAGAAACTGGGCAGCTGAGTGGCGCTGTTTGCATTAAGATGCAAATGACTGCAGGCACATGCGTGCATACCTGCCTCACTGGCTCACGATGGCCTGCACTTTGTATGTCTCCTGCGTGTGCAGAGTGTCTCTACTGAACCGTGGGCAGCCTTCTGCACAGAGACCTCTGCAAGTGCTCACCACACCACTCCAATTTCATTCTGCAAGTGTTCTGTGCGGTGGGTTTCGGTGTGGATGCTGGGCAGACAGGGTATGCTGTCCCTGTGTATTGTACGGTGAGTGTTGCGTGCAGCTCTCTGGATCACCCGCACCATGGTACAGGCAGTCACAGAGAGGTTGCCAATGGCCTGTATCTGCCTCCGAGAATAGGCCAGGGTCCAGGTGTACTTGAGTTGATGCCAGTGAAGATGTGGGTCTAGACTTGGAGGGTGTGTGTTGGTTCCCTTGAGGTGTGGCTCCCTTAAACATAATGCAGAGGACCCCCTCAGAGCCACACCCCTCCCTAGAGTCTGTGCTCCCTGAGGGGTGTCCCAAATGTCCAGAAAGACTATGTCACCAGCAGTCAAGGGCACAGGCTCAACCCATCTCTGTAAATACCGGGAGCCTGGTATAAAATTCGATCATAAATGGAGTCTAAGTTATTTAAACCAGGTGTTTATAGCATGTGGAGTAATATAATAAATCCTTTTTGTTAATAAATGCTGCTTGCTTTATTTGGCTGCTGTAAGCTGGTAGAAAGGTCTTGAGACTAGAAGTCTGTTTTCTTTCTTTTTTCTTTGCAAGGCTTGAGATGGAACCGGAACCTCTTCCTGCCAAACAAGGGTTCTAGTACTGAGCCACACCTCTAGTTTGGGAGGTGTCTTGAGTGCTGGGGTGACTGGCGTGCCAACCACACCCGGCAGACTTTGCAAGACTGTTTTTAATTTCTCTGTTCATTCTAAGCAGCAATCAAGGTGTTCCAACTCTGACTTCATCTCCCCCATTTGCGATAATTCCTAAGGTCTCATGGAATAACCCACTGGTACAAAGAGCTTGGGGGGACAGCCATTTATGTCAAGAGGAGAAGCAGCGAACAGTGGTGGGTACTGGCACCAAGTGGGCTGGAGGACAGCTCCTGGGGTGTGGCCCCTGGCAATGTCCTGAGGCAGTCACATGAAGGTGGGTGGGGCAAAGACAGGAAGGGCTGCTACAGGCTGGGAAGTGTGAAGAGGCAGGGAGGTGTCTTCACCAGAGCTCTAGAGGGGCTGTGGCCCTGCTGCGCACTGATCCCAGACTTACGCACAGCTATGTATGGCTAAGTGGCTTCTGCTGCCTCAGTCCTCCGGCTGTGGCCACTTTCGACAGTGGCCATGGACACTTACATGGCTGCTGCTTAATGAACATGTTGGTGCTTGCAAGCTGTAAGGACACCTTGTGTCTGGTCATAAAACCTCTGAGACCAGAAACACAGCAGAGCATCTCCTCACCCACCAGAAGCAGAGGGTCCTGGCTACAGTATTGAGCACAGGGAAGGTGACATCCAAGATGTCAGTGCTCTCCATTTCCAAGAAGTCAGGCAGCTTTTGGAGAGGCCCTCAAGTTAGCCTTGCTCTACAGGAGCTGCGGCTGGTTTCTGGCTTTTTAACAAGGTTCTGAAGGCTGGGGGCTAGCCTGGGCTGATACAGGGGACAGTCAGAATATCATAGTAATAAGGAGGGGTAAACTCACCCTGACGGTGAAGAGCATGTCTCCCTGGCTCTAGATCTTTCCTTGAAAGTTAATCCCAGCACTCAGGAGGCAGAAGGATCTCTGAGTTCCAGGAAAGTTACACAGAGAAACCCTGTCTCAAAGAACCAACCCCCCTCCCAAAAAAAAAGAAAGAAAAAGGGCAAAGATGTGTTCTGTGGCTGTGGGTCCTCGGGGTGTGCCTGCTATGGCTCTGCAGGGTTTGATGGTGGTCAGTCAAGGGTGGGTGGCTGCTGGCCAGCTCAAACAAGGGGAGCAGGATGGGTGTAGTCAAGTGTGGATCACTCACACATCTCCATGCAGATGGTGACAAAACAAAATGCTTACAAAATTACCACCAGGCTGGGCAGTGGGGCGCATGCCTTTAATCCCAGTGCTTGGGAGGCAGAGGCAGGTGGATCTTTGAGTCTGGGGCCAGCCTGGTCTACGTAGCAGTTCCAGGACAGCCAGGGCTACACAGAGAAACTTACCTTGGGGGGTGGGGAGACCTACCAGGCACAGTGGTGCATGCCAGTACTCTAGAAGCTGAGACTGGAGGATCATAAGTTCAAGTGTAGCCTGGGTTCAAAGCCAACCTGGACAATTTGGTGGGGGGGGGCGGTGAAGAGGGGCTGGGGGTACAGCTCTGTGTTGATATTAGTCATGTTTTTTGTTGTTGTGACAAATACCTACCAAAAGCAACTTAAGGAAGGGTTCATTTTAGCTTACAGTTTGAGGGGACAGTCCATCCTAGTAGGGAGGGTGTGGTGGCAGGGGAGTGAGACAGATAATCACATTACATCCACAGGCAGGGAACAGAGTCAGGTGAACGCTCTTGCTCAGCTGGGACCCCAAGTCATGGGATGCTGACGCTTGTATCACATTATCTACAATCTCCAATTAAAGGAGACTGCACAACAGCCTGAGTCCCCTTCTGGGACCGACATGTGGAAGGACACGATGACTCCTACCTCCTGAATGTCATCCTATGTTGTCTACCAGGGATGTGGTATGTCAAAACATGGCTGAGGTAAAAGGGCAAAGAATGGCATAAAACACCACACACACACCATGCTCATGACCAACTAACTGCCAACTTGGAAAGTGAGACTGACCCCAGGACTCAGTCAGGGGTCAGGAGCTCAAGGTTGGTTATCCACAGCCTCAAAAAGACATGTATTTAGTAAGATTAGATATGTTAATAGAGACATGGGAAAAAAGTAGCAGAGGGACAAATAGAGACTGTGGCATCTTTCTTTCAATGATTATGGAACCCTGAGGGTGTCCAAGATCCCACAGCAGCAGCATAGAGGGGAAGATCAGGGAGCTACAGCAGATGTTAGGCAACACAGTTAGGAAAGGTCCGAATCCCACAGAACATCCGTCTGACCACACAGTTACATGTCCAAATCCCACAGAACATGCCCTCTGACCACACGGTTTACATGTCCGAACCCCACAGAACATGCCCTCTGACCACACAGAGTTAAGAAAGGTTTGCGTCTATAGAACACACTCTGACCACAGGATTTAATTAGAAGCCACTGCACTTGGTTTATGTGATGCTGGAGTTGGAGCCCAAGGCTTTGTTCATAGCAGGAAAGCCCTACAGCAACGGAGCTACATCCCAGATGGAGTCATGGTGTTTTAAAGTGTCTGCAAGCCTACAAGGGAGGGACGCTTCCTCTGATACACAGAGTACCTACTAGCAACACACATGACAAATAATAGCAAGGTTCACCGCTTTCCCCCAAAATGGACAACAGGTAGGGAAGCTGCTCTCTCCTCTCCTAGGCAACACTATGTGAATGCTCAGCTTTTGCCCTAGGCAAGAACAGAAAGCATACAAAGACTGGACTGGCTGGCTAGGTGTGGTGTTTCATGCTTACAATCTTATTATCTGGGAGACCCAGGCAGGAGGATTGCCAGGTGCTTGAGACCAACCCAAAGCTGTAATATGAAATTCTGCTCCTGCCTCAAAAAAAACAAACACACAAAACCAAAGGAAACACAATGGCTGGAGAGATGGCTCAGTGGTTAAAAGCACTGGCTGCCCTTCTAGAGGATCCCAGCACCCACATGGTAGCTCACAACTGGCTGTCACTCCAGTCCCACCACCAGGCACAGGCCCAACCTCCTCACCTCTAGTCACCTCTAGTGACTCTGAGGACCTGGGCCATGCTTGCATGCACTGGCCACAGCCAGGAGGAGCATTCTGCCTCCCCCTGGGCACAACAGGCTCCAAGAGAGCAGCTGCCTGAAAATGACAGGCCCACACTATCACCTGCAATGATAATGTTTATTGAGTCAACCACAGCATTAACAGAGCAATAGAGGCACTAGCCTGGCTGGAAATAGTCAGGACATACACACCAAACTGTGTACAGGGACCAGTGGCCCGGCATGTGACAGAGAACAGACAAAGCCCCCGGACTCTGGACAGAGCAGACTAAACATCCACCTAATAAAAAACAAAGCCATGTGTGATATAGTACTCTCTATGTTTCCTCATAAAACATAGCATCATGTGTTTTAACACACACTTCACCATTGCTACAGTCAGCAAGAGCGATTACAGTGCTCCAACTTAATAAGTTGATAACAGTTGTCCTGTTTCCAGTTCACAAAGGAACTAAATCGTCTTGTTCCCAGGTACCTGGGGGAGCGCCCCTGTGCCAAGGCCTTCCTGCCACACACATCCCAGCACAGGGCCTTTGGCAGGCACTGGGGGTGGGGGTGGGGCTCCCAGAGTATGCTTAGCTCTCCCGGAGGCTCAAGGGTGGCCATTCAAGTGGCCATCCATCTCAGGCTTTAGCCTATGATGGCTGTGTTGGCTTTTTATGAGGTGGTGACGAGAGCTGCTGAGTGCGTATCCCCCGCCTGCCATGTAAGAGTCAGTTCAGGCTGCTGTGCTGGGCAGTCCCCAGGCATTCTCGGAAGCACTGCTTTCTAGCTCACATGCACAGGGGTGAGCCCATTTTGGGTGATGGCCATTGGAGGACCACCCGCCTGTGGCTTCACCTGCACACTCCAGGTGTTGTTTGGTGGCCGAAGAGAGGCATTTTGGTGCATGTGAAGCTGATGGGTGTCCAGTCTCAGCAGATGGTATTTCACAACACTGACCTGTGACAAACGTGGCCATGGCTGTTGCACACTGACCACCAGCCACAAAAGAGCCATCCACTCCAGGGTTGCACAAGCCAGTGGCACCAGGTGGCGGCGGCGGCTGCCGCCAGTGGGGCCACAGCACCTATGATATCCTAACTATTTCAGGAGGCTACCAATAAGGTCCTGTGCTCTCCCTCCCAACTTTCCCCAAACCAGCCCTCACAGGGCCCTGAGGATCTCAAGCGTGGGAGTCTGAGGGCTGCAGGCCTGTCAGTGGCACTGGATGTTCCAGCCAAGACCTTAGGCTAAGAACAACGTCCCACAGCTAGCTAGCTTTCTAGATAGCGGGGAGTGCCGCCAGCTGCCCTGCTCCCAGCCAAAAGCAGGCGTGGACCCCTTTCTACCATCTCAAACTCTTGCACAGGCAAACCTGGACCACACATCTTGAGAGGCATCTCCTAAAATAACTGTTGCAGTTGACTTTCCCAGGCAACGAAGCAGGGTTCTGGTCACCATCGCTCCCTTCTATTAGTAACCTGCATGCTAGGTTGACAGCCCAGGTCAGAAAACAGAAATGCCTGGGTTTGTCTGAGCAACACAGACTGGTGTCACACTGTGAGGCCAGCCCTTCTCCCTCTGCCTCTTTAACACACATGCAACCCTTGGGTCTCAGCCCAAGGCCCCTGGCCCTGACCAGACTCACAGACAGCAGGCTTTTGGTGCAAGCATCTAACAGGCTTGGGTCTTTAAAACAACCAACGTGCAGTCTGACCTGAAAGCAATAAGCAGTCACGCTTCTAGCTAACTGTCCTTTCAGGGTGTCAATATTTTACCAGTGGCTCTGCCAAGGCCTGTGACATTACCACGAAGTGTCCTTGTATTACTTCAGATCATGGTGAGTGGAGGCTAGCGTCTGAGGGCTGGCGATCCTTATCTATTCCTCCTGCCGGTCTGGTCTCTGCTGCAACATCCAGTGTAAGTGTGGCCTGAGCCTCTGGGTGGGGAGGTGGTGGGGGTGGGCGCTCTGGGTAGCATGCAGTCTCCTGAGACCCACACTTGGTATGAGGATTCCAGATTTTGGTTGGGCCAGGTTTTGCCCATTTAGCACTCCGGCCTCCCTCTGTCCTCCTATGGCAAGGCAGAAAGTCAGGGTGGGTACATGACAGCAGAGGCTGTGGTCCTTATCACAGACCAGAACTCTCAGGAGGGAGGGACACCCTCTTAAGCCACCAGTGGCAACTAAGTTGCACGGGAGTGGCCTGCCAAGGGCACTGACTGGAGAGAGGAGTATAGCATGCTTGCTTCCCCAGAGGGACAGAACACCCAGCTGATGGGACTTGGCTGGCTGGAGGGCTCAGTGTGGGGACTGTGCTTGGTAGTTCAACTTATCCCATCCAGACTGGAGACTTGCGATTTTATTCTCATTTGGCAACACAGAAAGCACTGGAAGGCAGAACCTGACCTCTGTAGGACTAGGCTTGAGGTAGGACCCAGGCCAAGTAAAAGGTACCCCTGAGCACACACACCTTTGCTTCCCAGACACAAAACACACTACAAACTACAAAGCGCCACCGAGTGTGGGAGTGTGGGAAGACAAGAGGCCTGCCAAGAACGTTAAACACAGCATTCCTTTGAATACACAGAAAATTCAAGTAATTTTATTTAAAAACGGCTTACTTTCATCTTGAAATATATATGGATATATATTTTCGTTAGAATGCTCATATTGCAGCATGATTCTCATGCACTGTAGAGTACTTTGTGTAAAAATGCCAATCGAGGCAGCAAGGGCACGGGATTGACTTCATCTGGTTACCATCCAGGGAGGCCCTCCCCTCTCCTGAGCGCAGACTGTTGAGTTTTTAACAGAGATCGTGGTTTGAAAAGTATTTTCCCACAGCTGCAGCATCTGAGGAGCCTGCTTCCCTGAGGCCCGGAGTTTTGCTTATGTGCAGAAGTCAGAAACTGCACCAGGTTCTTGGGTCACCGGCCCTCCTGCCCAGGCAGATACTTGCTTCTCTTTGCCTTCATTCCCATTCCCATGGCCAACAGCAGGAGCAGGTGATGAGGTCACAAGATTTCAGTTAGGTTCCAGCGAGGACCAATGTCACCAATATGGCAGGGAGGTAGGCCTCCGCACCCTCACGCGCCCTGCTTCCCACACTCTCGAGGTAGCCTTGCAGCAGGACTCAGCAGGAACTACTGCTCGCCTGGAGCTCTGCGCCTGGATTCCCGATCAAAGGTGTAGAGACAAGCTGAAGTGTCACAAAGAGCCAGCAGCTGCCCTGTGGTCGCCTCTGGGAGGACCCTGTGGGTAGGGACTGGACACAGGCAAACTCACACGCGAGCACACAGGAGGCATGCTGTGAGTTCACGTTCAGCATTCCTGGTCTGTGCTGTCCCTGGGTGGGATGTCTGGAGGCTGCCCCGGGGAATGGCTGCCTTACGCTCAAGCGGTTCTGGGACCCTTCCCCAGCTTTGGTGTGTGGTCTCAGTCACTGACAGTTGTGCACAGGACTGTGGACCCAATTCGCCAGAGATGCTGTTCTAAGAAAACCACAGTTGTGAAAAAGAAAATACCGTTTCTAAAATAAACAGAGGAAAATGCTCCAAGGCACTGCAGTGCCAGCACGGTGCTGAGGCGCCCCGAGGACACCTGCTGGGCAATCTGAGCGCTGCACTGCTGTCTTCAGATGACACCTGCCAAGGGAGTCGGAGTTTCTGCACTTTTAATAATTACTGTTTTAGAAATGCAGGCCCTTTACATTTTCTAAATTGCTTATTGACTATGCTGTGAATGTTTCACAATTTAAAACATGCAGAATGGAATACCCGCAGAATGAAAGACAGCTGAAATTAAGTATTTTTTTTTCTTCAATAAAAAGATTTCAAATGATTTTTTTTTTTTCAATTGTGGGAAAGGTAATTAGTGTGATATTTTTGCCTAATAGCTCAAACCTACCCTACACCTAACACCTACTGAACTTGACCTGCGCTCTGGGAAGGAACTTCAGCTCGCACAGTGTCGGCAAGCACAGCCCCCAGTCCACCCTGCCCTCTGGCGTGGAATGTGCCAGCTGGGGCTCACACCATGGACTCTGTCTCCACCGGCCCCCGAGGGCCCCCCTTCCGAGACAGCTTCAGTACAGTGGGCTTCTCGCTGCCTGCTCCGCCCTCGCCTTCACCAGTGGGCCCCGAGGACAGGCCTTTCTGCTCCTCCTTGGCCTCCTCTGACACCTCGGGGTAGATCACCAGGAATGTGGCTGTCAGGAAGCCCAGGAAAGAGCCCACTGAGGCCACCACAGGGATGACATGGACAGTCCCTACAGCGTCGACCACGCCCCCAATGGCAGATGCAACCAGGATCTGGGAGATGTAGACCTGACAGGACAGGATGGCGCAGTCAATGCCAAATCCACGCTTGGAGTTGCCTGGACTGTGGTGGACGTACTGCAAGAGAAGGGATACAGGCGTGAGGGACGCAGGCTTCACCTATATACCAGGGCTATGGACACTGCCTGCAGTCGAGGCAAGACCCTCGAAGGCAGCCACCCAGCTGGGTCCTACCTGGCACGGGCAGGCAAGAGAGAGAGAAAATTCTGGCTCACAGGGGGACACAGAAGCAATTCTGCATCCTAATCAGGGTTTGACTCCCCGGAACACTGCCTCCAGCCCCAAGGAAGAGAGGCAGGGCAGACACAGGAATGTCTACCTCACCCCGATGATCTCCTTGGGGAGCAGGAAGCTCAAGTCATTCCCATGCATGTGGCTCAGGTGACAGAACAGGAACACTGGGCAGTTTTGTTTGTTCATGTTTCTGGAACATGATACAATAGCATGCCTGTGCACTGCGTGGCCAGGTTCACCCCAAGTCTCCAAATGAGATGTCGTCCTTGAGATATGGAGGCCAATCTACCCAGCAGATAGAAAGCACACTCAGATTTTAGGCTTGAGTATACCACAGTCAGAGAGAGAGAGAGAGATTGTAAACACACCTCCCAGGAACCAGAAAGACAACAGACAGACCCCACCTTACCCAACGGACACAGTGAGGCCACATTTCACAAGATATAGGACATGCTGGGCCACAGCCTGAGTGATCAGTTAATGTAAGGAGTGAGATCATACACATGTACGTTCTCTGACTTTGATTATTACAAACCAATCCACCATGACCATCATCAAAACCGCCTAAATCTCACAAAAATCAACCAACGTACTTCCAAATAATCTTTGGGTTCAAAATAGAAATCAAGACATAAACCATAAAAAAATCTCCGTGTGAGCTGAGGGACAGAGGCAGGTGAGTTCAAGGTCAGTCTGATCTGCAGTGAATTTCAGGATAGCCAGGGCTACACAGAGAAACCTTATCTTAAAAAACAACAACAAAAACAAACAAACAAAAAAGAAAAAGAAAGAAAAAGAGAAAAGAAGAGAAAAAGCACACCCACACCCACACCTGGAGACATAGGCCAAGATCAGGTGTTTTGTCTTCTAACCCTCTCTACCTCCTTCTCTGAGAAAGGGCTGCTCACCCAGGGACCTTCTGTCTCTGCCCACTTACTTGGCACTGGGTTATAATTATATGTACATGTTACCATACCCAGGGCCTTACACAGGTGCTGGGGAATCTGAAATCAGGTCCTTATACTTGGACACCAACTTTATCCACTAATCTATATCTCCCTGAGACCTTAGAAAGATCTTTACAGACAGAGAGGGGGGGAGGGAGGGGGGAGTAGCTAGGTGTGGTTGCACACATGGAGGCAGGTGGATCGTTTTAAGTTCCAGGCCAGTCAGGGATGCTGACTATTAAGTCCCTGTCTCAAAAACAAGCAGTAACTTGTTTCTCTAGATGTATGTGGCAGTCTGTGTCTGTAATCCTATCACTCACTGGGGGAGACGATAGGATTTCTGTGAGTTGGGGGCCAGGCTGGGCTACAATGGGACAGCTGGAGTGACCCTGAATCATAGCTGAGGAGTGCATGCCGCTGGACGTCAAGACTTACTACAGACCTGCTTTAAAGAGGAATGCATAACATCTGTCCAAGGACGGAGAGACCCGCCAGTCGCATAGCACATGCACACACGTGGCCATTGGGCAACAATAAAGATAGGACGGGAGGCCCTGGGTTCCAAGAACACCCACTTAGGGGAAGAATGTCAAGAGACTATAATCCACAATCCACTACCTCAGGCCACAGAGGCCTGGGACCAGCGGTAAGCCCTGCCATGTTACTCAAGGCACACAAAACGGTGGACCTGAAGATGCCAGTCTTGTTGCAGGGAGGTCAGATGCAAGTGCAAGGGAGAACACACAGGGCAGCAGAGGGAGAAGGGGCTTGTAGACTCTGTCCCCATCTTTCCTGGTCTGGGCGGTTCTGTATGACACACTTCTGAAATGCCGTTAAGTAGCTCAGCCTCGACAGTTATGAAACCTGCAGAGTTTATCTACAAAACACCATCACCTTGATTAGGAGTGGGTGTGGCGTGTACCTATGGAGCAAATTAACTTTGCTTTAATTAGTAATGGGATTAAAGTTATATGCCACTATGCCCAGCTGCTTGCTTGCTTGCTTGCTTTTTTAATATACTTTTTTAAAATCAGGGTCATAAATAAGTAGACCAGGCTAGCCTTGAACTTGCTGAGGAGGATCTGGAAGTCCTGATCCTCTGGCCTTCCCCTCCCTAGTGCTAGGTATGTAACTGCTCCATTACACCTAGTTCCAAACCTCAGATGCAGTGGCTAACAGAGTAACTCTTCAAATGCTGCAAGAGGAGGACACTGAGGCCAGCTGCTAGAGCTGGGCCCAACCAACCAGTGAGCTAGTGGGGGATGTGATGGTGACGGGCATGGGGCAGGGCAGCCTCTTGTTCCTAGGAGCTGTGATAGCTCCTAGGACATGGGTGGCCAGAGAAGACCCTGTGGCCAAGGAATGACTAGGAGAGCAGAAGATGCTGCCTTCATCAGAAGGGAAGATAGAGGGAATGGCGGCAGGGCACTGAGCACAGGATGTGGGCCCCATGGTCTGAAAACTAACCAGATCTAAGGTCCAGCAGGGCTATGAGGTGACCCCATCACCACCTCTACTCAGCACCCCCAGACTGTCTGTACCTCCTTGATGTCGTGATAGTGCCCTAGGAGGGCGTAGGGGCAGTAGGAGATGCTCATGGAGATGATGCCCATGGTGCTGATGGTGACCATGGCCACATAAACGTTGGGAAACATGGCCATCACAGCTGTGCCCACGGAGAAGCCCAGTGTTCCCAACACATAGATGATTCTGATGCTCAGGTCATAGTTGTCCAGGTACTTCTGTAGCAAGGCTGCAGAGAGGGTCACAAGGATCATGACTTGGCTGTTGCCCTCACACCCCGTACCCCATTACTGCCTCCCTCTGGTTGAACCTAGGCCTTCAGGCATCTAAAGACCAGTCCCCCTGAACCATGCAGCCCCATGCCCACCTGGATTCCTGGAGGCTCCAGCTCTTCTAAAAGAAGCCAGCTCTCTGTGGCCTTCCTGGGCTGCTGACTGCCTTTGTCTGGCCCTTCCCTTGTCATTCTGGCCAGCCTCAGGATCCTGCCTTCTGATTGGGTCCTCCCAGGCACCATCTCCTCCAGGAGGAATCTCTGTTACCCTGACACTTGGCTGACCTGACTCACCCTAACCCTCTTCACACCTACAGATTAGGCAAAGTCAACTTCCATTCCAAGTTCAGACTGAGTGTAGGCAGCTAAGGGAGGAGACTACAATCCCAACTCTTCCAAGTTTAGGAAGCGAGTGAGGCATGCTGCCTTAGGATGAGAACCCATCACCCCACTCCTCAGGGATCCTATTCCTGCTCTGCTGCCCCTCAGACTGCTGGGCCCCAGGTGGGGTTGGCATGGCAGGGACAACACGATAATACACAGGTTCCATTCACGCTGGACAGTGTCATGGACAGCACATAAGATGTCCTCCAAGCCTAAGAAACATGTGATCCCAGGCCACAGCAACTACTTTAATGACTTTTCCTCTCCCGAGGCAGAAGTCAGGGCCCCGATTCTCACCTGAGCAGATAGCACCGGTAGCAGCGTAGATGACCAGGCCCCTGCAGCCCATCTTCACGCCGGCATTGTAGTCATGCCATTTGGTGGAGTTGGAGGATGCCTGTTGCAGAGAGAGGAGGCTGAGTACATTTGCCACCCTCAGGGCAGAGGAGATTACTCTGCAGTCCCACACAGGCAGATTGAAAGGTGACAGATACTCTAGTGAGGAGCAGGAGAATCAACCCAAGTCCAGGTCAGTATCTGGAAAACTCCTTCCAGTCCCTAGCAGTCCACACATGACTGTTTCCCTCAAGGAGAGGTGGAACTCTGCCTGTGGCCCTGAAACAGGGCTGGTCTGGACTGGCAGAAGTGAGTCTGCCTTCTCTGAGATGACATGCTGGTCCCCGAGAAAGGTATAACAGACCACTGTGACCACCTACACACCATGGGGTAAGCCCAGAACCACTAGCAGGGGCTGGCAGGAAATACGACTTTCAAAGCTGAATCAACACTCCATTCACGATTTGTGTGTGAAAGCACCTGGCATTCACACACGGTCACCACAGACCCTACCACCACATCTCTGACTAAGTCTGCACGACTGACCGTAACACTGACGTGTGCTCTGGCCAGCTGTCCCACACTGGCGTGTGAGCCCAAGGGCAGTGCATGCAGGCTCCCAGGAAGCCCCACACATGGAGACTGCCTAGTTTTCTGGTACAGTAGAGCTGCTGGCCATAGGGTGCTCACCTGGGGGTCCCCCTCGAAGATTACCCGGCCCATGAAGTCGGTGTAGAAGACAGCTTCTGTGATGACGGAGAACCAAGTGAGAAGGTGGCAGAGGCAGAGCCGCATCAGTTCCTTGGGCATCTTCAGCATGGACAGCCACAACAGGCGCACAGTGGTCTCTGACTCGCCCTCCTCGCTCTCCGTGTCCCCACTGGAGGCAGTGGCCCCGCTCTGGTTGCGGTGCCGGGACCTCTGCCGCTGCTGCAGGTCATACAGGTCACTCATGCTTCGAGATGGCTTGATCAGGACCACTGCGTTGGCCCGGCGGTAGCGGTAGCAGTGGGACCCAATCTTGCCATAGTAGGAGAAGGTGCTAGAAGCCTGTCTGTGGAACATGTGCCTACGCCGTCTCATGGAACTGGATGTGGCCGAAGGCTTCAAGTCCATGGGTGGGGAGCCTCTCCCGTTTGGGACTTTAGCTTCATTCAAGTGACTATCAAGCAGGGTGTCGTCCTCCGTGGTGGACTCCCTGAGGAACGTAGACAGGCGAGGCAGCTTGGCCCGCAGGAGCTCCTGGCTGGTGCTCCGGGGGGTGCTGGGATAGGAAGCATCGTGGAAGATGGAGGGCTCTATGTCGTGCAGGAAGAGCAGTTCAGGCTCCATGTCCAGGGTGGCATCGGGCATGTGCAGCACTGAATCACTCTTGCTGCGCACGATGTCCACATCGAGGTAGTCCAAGGACAGCTCGTGCTCTGACTGCACCTCATCTGGGAATGGGGGGCTGCCGTCCTGCACACCCCCGCCGAGGGAGCTGAGGCGGGTGGCGGGGGCTGGGGCGCTAGGCTGGACACTGGTGCTGGGCAGGGTGCCATCTTCAGGACTGCGGTCCTGCTGTGGGCTGTACTGTTCCTCCTCGATGCTGAAGAGATGCAGGGCCACTGACACTGAGAAGACGATGGCGGCGAAGAAGAACAGCACCTGGTTCTGCGTGCGGAACCAGTCCCCCAGGAAGGTCTGCGTCCAGTCCCGCCCACCCAGTACATAGCCGATGGCGCCGCCAAGGCCTGTAGGAAGACAAGCGACACAGGGGTTTCCCTTACACTGGGGGAACGGGTTTCGTGGCAAGTCAGTGAGATGGAGAACGAAAGGACAGCTGAGATGGATACAACAACACAACTCAGATGACGGCACAGATCTGAAGACAGGCCGAACATTCCCAGTCAGAAATAACAAAAGGAGTCTCAGGGCTGGAAGCAACCCCTGCCCAGCTGTGTGTTCCCCAGGCAGTGTCAGTGTGGGGCCCTCACATCTACCTGGCAGACATGTCGTCCAGACAGGCTTTACTCTCTCCTAGCTCTGCTCCTCAGTCCCTTAACCTTGCTGGGTTCATTCATGGGCCAGGAATGGGTCACGGTGCTTCCTAAGGTCCCCTTTCTGGTCACTGCCACTAAGGAGTACAGAGTCACCCCTCCCACCTTGGGCCTAGCATGGGCTTTACCAGCAGAGAAGGCATGGATGTTGAGGGCCATATCTTGCTCCTCGCTGTCTACCACATCTAGCAGGTAGGCACGGATGGGCCCCTCAGTTGCATCGGCACTGAAATCCAGGACCACCACTCCCAGCACCGTGAGGACAATGCCAATGGGCTGCCGGTTGGGAACATCGCCGAGCGCCAGACCTGGACAGAGCATGGGGAAGCAGTCAGATTCCAGTGCCAGCTGTCAGGCTCCCGAGGCAGATGCCTTCAGGACAGCTGTAAGCTTCACCCCATTTCTGTGGCTTCTGTGTTCCGTCCCCAAGAGCTCCCTCTTATAAAAAAAAAATACTTATTTTATTATGGACCTTTTGCCTGTAGGTATGGGTGTGAGTCTCGTGCATGCTTGATGCCTGCACAGGTCAGAAGACGGCATTAGATCTTTGGGAACTGGGGTTACGGATGGCTGTAAGCTACCGCGTGGATGCTGGGAATTTAACTTGGGTTTTCTGCAAGAGCAGCAATGCTTCCCACTCCCACTAAGCTCTATCTCCCTCCCTCCCTCACGGTTCCTCCTCCTCCATCCATGAGCACCAGTGGCCACCGCCTCTACTTCCCTGGGGATGCCATCGCCTCTACTTCCCTGGGGATGCCATCGCCTCCTCTTCCCAACAACCCACACTCCCTGTGCTGCTTCCTGAGCTGGCTGGCTCTGCCTCAGCATCCAAGGTAGACAACAGGCTTTGAGTACACAAGGACCTTAAGTAGGAAGGCATGCAGCCTCAGCAGGCAGTGTGAGGTGAGCCTCTGAGGAGGCTGCCTGGACCCAGAGATCAATCCCCAGGCCCAAGCCTTGGGCTGCTCTCACTGGTGCCAACCTGCTGGACTAGGAGTGCAACAAAGACAGGTCTGGCCGTGAAGTACTGTCCTCTGACTGAACCTTGACATGCTGGCTCTTGGGTTGCCCAGGAGGCCCCACTGGCAGGAGAAGAGTGTGGCTAGTGACTCCAGGCTGGCTGTATGTGGGTCACCTGTGGCCAGGGCCACCCAGGAATGCTCTTCATACATGCCACTGTATATGGGAAAGTAAAGGAATACTTGGAGGTGGCAAGCAGCAAAAGACAGGAAAGTGGCAACCCAGACTCCGAGGTGGGAGCTGTTCCTGGTAGAGGAGGCTGCTTTGTACAGGTATGAGTCAGCAAGGAGACAGGCCAGGAGAGGAACTGTCCCTGTGCTGGCCCCAGGAAGCTGTGACTCCCCAAGGAGTGGTGGTCTTCTGGGGCCTCTCTGCCCACAGCCACGCTGCCACTGGACTTGGGCAGACCTGTGCTTCAGAACCCACAAGGCACTCCTTCACCCGCAGAGCCAAGAAAACAAGGCTTGTTTTCCCCGGTTCTGAAGGGTGCCCGCAAGGCAGAACATATTTTCTCACACAGAGTGGCTTTAATTAAAAACAAAACAACAGAAAGAGGCAAAACAACACACGAGGCAGGCATGAACCAAGAAAGCAACAGCAAACTGGGTTCTGGACATTCTCACTGCCCGTCTGAGAAGAGGAGAACAGAAAAGGAAAAGATAATTTCTGAAATCACTCTGGAAACAGGACGTGGTGTCAGATACGCATTAAAAACAAGCCATCACAACAGGAAGCGTTTCCCTGTGAACAGGTTCCTCTGGCTTTCCCATGTGGGGCCAGCTCTTCTTCTACCAAACTCCCTGCTGCAGTCTCTACCAGGCAGCCCTCAGCGGGCCCAGCTGGTCCAAACTGGTCCCTGCACACGGTGACCCAGAGAAGTCATCCGATAAGGCCCCCAAAGCGTGCACTAGTATAAACTCAGCAGTCACTCACCGATGGCAGAGCCGTTGAGGAAAAGTGCAACACCGATGAGGACCCCCACACACAGCACGAGGATGAAGGGCCGCCGGCGGCCCCAACTCAGGGTACAGCGGTCACTTGCAGAGCCAATAAGTGGTGTGAAGATGAGGCCAAGGACAGGGCTCAGGAACCAGGTGAGGCTGTAGTACTGCTCAGGGAGGCCTGCCGGAACACACAGACTGTCGCTCACCACTCATGCACATCCCACATAAGCACTATGCCTGCCCCCTCCAGCCTCCTCAGGGTGGACCTTTTCCCTGAGGGTCTTCTGGCTCTGAGGGTACTCCAGACCTTGGCATCAGTACTGGGCTCTGCCTGCAGGGCCACCATGCTATAAAGTCCTGCAGGGTACCAAACATGGACCCATCTCTCCACAGTACACTACACAAGTGGCACAGTGGCTAGCTACAATTGCAGGGATAATAAGAATCATTTAATTTTGGACCTCACGGGGGAGGGGGGGAGGGGGAGAATGACTATCACAGAGGGTTTTGCCAAGGCCCTCAGTTACCTCGGCAGTGGGGTGGTATAAGTCCACATGTATCCACCTGTAGCCAAGAGGCTGTGGCCAGTGCCCAGTGCCCCTTCTTCCATTTAGCTTTCCCTAACTGTCTAGGCATCGTGCAACGAGTGTGGTGGCCTCAGCATGGAACCTGGGTAGCCTGACACCTACCTGTCATAAAAATTTCAAATGTGGTGGTATCAACAGACAGATGAAGGATGGCGGCCCTGGGCACAGGCCAGAGCTCTCTCTGCACAGCAACTAGAACGCACCTGCACAGTGGCCAACAGTTCTGATGAGCCTGTCTCTGTACCACAGAGACCCTTGCTCATAAGCATAAACCACGCCATTCCCTTGAGTGACACCCACAGTCCAGGTCAGAGTGCTGGTTACCCTACAGGGCAGGGGCTGGCTGCTGGGTGAGCAGTGGCACACCATATGTCCTGGATGTGGTTGGGAGGCTCTGGGTGTTAGCCCAAGATCAGGACAACTCTCCAAAGTCACAACAACCCATAGTTTGCTTCAAATCCAAAGGGCCTGGCATGCCACCACCTCATCAGACAAGCACGTCTCACTCTCAGGACGCCGAGGAAACACTCATGTTGAGCTGGCAAGAGAAACAAGCGTTGTGTGGTGGGAGGAGAAAAAGCTTAAGGGAGGAAGCACCTTGCAGAACCCCTTGCCATCACGCCAGGGCACTCCGCCAGGGTCTAAGGTATGTGTTCTGACCTCTGTGGCCACGCCTGGCCACAGGAAGGCTAGATCTGTTCCCATCCCAAGTCAGCAGAACAGACCAGAATCAGAGAACTGGAGTCTGCCCAGTGAGTCCCAACAGACAAGCCAGGTGGGGCTCTAATGCTATGTGAGCTCTTCGGCCTCACCAGGCAAGGCACTCAAGGTGCCACAGCTGTTCCCAGCCATACTCCAGCCATACTACCCTTGCCTGGCTTCAGTAACACCCATGCCATGTGCCCTGTGACTCAGCACAACCCCTAATCAAAATGGCCCAGAGTGAACAAGGCAGTCTGGGGTTCAGAGGAAGAAGCACTGTGAGCCTCCCATTGGTCATGCCACCAACTCCTCCACTCCTGTGTGCATGGGGCAGCCTTACAGCCTGTCCTTTCCTGCCTGGGGCAACCCTGGTGCTGCCTCTCAACATCATCTCGGGAATGGGGGAGGGCTATCTATCCAGGAGGCAGCACAGCCTTCAGCTGCCCACAGCGCCTACCCACCCTGAATACAGGGCTCCATGCCATATAGTCGCAGCGGCCCTGGGTTTGTCCCAGTCAGGCTATGGCTCCCTGAAGACACTGAGATCAACAAGTTCCCCTGTCCCTCTCCCAGTCAAGAGCCAAACAGGACATACAGAGGTATGCTGACTCAATCGGGCTATGAGACAAGGCCTGGATGGCCCAGGCCCCCTCTCCACCTGCATCGTCCCTCTTTAGAACCCATACTCTGCTGTTGCTGTTGCAGTCTGACCACCTGTAGCCACCTCTAACCCAGGTGCTCGCACTTGCCGGTCCTCTCCCAGGGAGGTGACAGTGACAACACCCATGGAGCCTGTGGCCCCACCACCCTGGCATCAATCAGTAGGCCCAGGCACCAGCCCTGAGGAACTGTAGGCTACACATACATGTAGACAGGAGTCACAGATGACTGACAGGCTCACAAGGGGCAGAGGGAAAGACAGGCATGAGCACACAGATGGGAGGACAGTGTGCTTCCCATCTCTAGACTGCAGATGAGAAGTCTACTACAGTACTCTATAGACTACAGTACAATAGATGCTCTCACATAAGATGGATGGACAGACAGTGCAGGCTCTACTTGGACATGACACTATCATCTATAATATGTTGGCCTACATTCACAGCTATCCTGTGATGAATCCATCTGTGGGCCACAGGATGCACACACATGGTGTAGAACAACAGGTCCTGATGCACACAAAATGGCCTCTGGAACAGCTAAGAGCTGGCTTCTGAGTGAGGTCACGCACTGACACTTGACACTGACCGCCACAGGAAACCAGCTCCTCCAGGTCGGCCTGGCTAGCAGAGGTTGCACAGGAACAGGGACAGAACATCCCAAGGAGACCTTGGACCAGCTGTCAACATGTCTGCAGTTACTGACAGCTGTAGCCATCAAAGCCCAACAGTTATGGTTCCAGTATGGGTGAGCAAACTCTGTTGCTCAAGATGTGGTCCTCCACACGCATCTTACAAAAGATGGCTATAATACTTCCTGACACAAAATGCTTCTGGAGCAGTTAAGAGCACTGGATGCTCTCCCAAAGAACCTGGCATCTGTGACAACTCATAGCTATCTGTAACTCCAGTCCCAGGGACCTGATACCTTCTTCTGGCCTCCATGAGCACCAGGCACACATGTGTCACAAAGACATATTTGCAGGCAAAACACCCATACACATACAAATAAATTAACTTAAAAAAAAAAAAAAAGCCTACAAAATTTAAGCTTCAGTGTCCATCAGTAAAGACCTATGCACAGCTAATCCATCTGCTGGGGTCTGGGGCTGCTCACTCACCAGCTCCAAGGGCAGAGATGAACACTGGCCGTAAGTGCCAAGCTCAACTGTAGCCCTTTGCTTTCTACTGCTCTGATAAATATCATGGGAAGGAAAGGGCTTGTTTCATCTTACAATTTTCAGGCTGGAGTGCAACAGTGAGGAAGTCAGGGCAGGGACTCAAGGCAGGACTGGAGATTGGAAATGATGAAGAAGCCAAAGGAGGAACTCTGCTTACTGGCTTGCTCGGCCTGCTTTTTCATACAACTTAGGACCACTTGCATAGGAGTGACACTACTCACAATGGGCGGGGTCATGTCAATCATGTTGGCCATGAATCCGGCATTAAGGCATTTTCTCAATCAAAGTTCCTATGCCCAGATAACTCTAACTTGTGTCAAGTTGACAAAAACAAAGCAAACAAGAAACCACAAGGATACCCTTGAAGAAGCTGAATGGCTGTTCCTCAACCGCCCTACCACTGCTGATGTAGCAATGTTAATTACAAAGTTAAGTTCCACGATTTGGTCTCTAGTTCTGCCAGCTTATGCTGTGTTCATTAGGAATGTTATGGCAGGCCACTCAGCTGACACTGCTGTGTTCTGTGTTCTGCAGTACCTGTGACATGACACTGTCCAGCCATGCCAGCACTACACCCCAGGTTCTCTCCTCTACTGGATGCTACCAGCTACAGGGTAGGACCCCTTGCTAGTGAGCCTGGTGATATACTAGGTGCTGCACAGTATGCTGGAGGAACCCAGAATCTACTGGTGCAGGAAACATGGCTAGGCAGTCATGGGCTTAGCTGTGGAAGGCGGAGGGGTGCCAACATTGGCTATGGACATCCAGAGCTATGCAAACCAAAAAGAGGGGCCAAGGACACAGGCACAGGGACACCAACAGTACCAGTGATGGCATTACAGCACTTGTTTTTTTGTTTTGTTTTTGATTTTTGCTTGTTTGTTTTTGGTTTTTGTTATGCCCATCTACCCAGAAGTCTAGTTTAGACTCCAGACCCTAGCCCCCAGGAAAGCAAACACTATGTTTTAGCTACCTGTATGAGGGCTGCCAAATCAGTTAGAGCTCCCTGCTTCCCACCCCAGAACTGGCCCTAACCAGGTGACAGCACTGTTCCATCACAGAGGCAAGTCAACACTTCCCACCACATCTCCAGTGCTGCCCAGGATGAGCAAGGGGTGCTGCCACCCCCAACACTGGGCTGCCAACACCACGTCCCTGGGATGCCTCAGCCAGGCAATTCCCAGCAAAGCCCTAAACAAACACAAACCCGTCCCTAGTAAATAATTTTTGGTTTTTTCCAGGCAAAGGTTGGACAACAATGGTGGGACCCGGAAGGTTCCCTGTTCACAGGAAACACTCACTGTGTCACTATGTGTACATGGGACAGCCTACTGCAAAGCTTGGGTCACATGCAGACGTTTCTATTCACAAGGGCATTTTTGATAAACTGGTGTTTTGTGGGGGGGAGGGAGGCTGGGAAAGTGGCCTATAAATATTTAACAAAACAAAAGGTCCAGGATGGGAATAGGAACTCCTTCTTTCTCTCAATGGACTAGCCTGCCAGGCCAGATAGGTTTGTGCTCCTGGATAAAACCCCATGATAACATTTGCTGGTGAGAAGTTGTTCTTCGTGGGAAAGCTTCAGCATCCTTGAGTGACCTCGGGAATTTCAAACAGCAAGCTCACTGTGAGCCCGCGTCAGGGTGGCCTTGCTAAGGCTACAGCGTGGGGAGAATGAGCTACTTTCCATGGGCCAGGTCATGGTAAGCTGCTACCATACCAGACCCAAAGCAAGGTCTGCTGAGACATCGGGGCCTCTCTGGGTCTGCTGGGGGGAGTGAACATTTCTAGCTAAAGGCAGGGCCAGAGCTTCAGGAAATACCCTAAAGTCACCAGTGCCATGGGAAGACAAGGGAAGAGTGAGGGTAGAAGTTCTGTTTCATAGACTGCCATTGAGCTGTCACGTATCACTCCCACTCCCACAGGACACAGTGTGCTTCACTGCTCAGTTACGTGTCTGTAAGGAAGCACTCCGGGAAGAAGGCTTATGCCAGTCATCCTAGTACTCAGACGGTGGAGGTAAGAGAAGAGTTCATGGCCATCCTTGGC